TTGTGTAACCATGTAAATATTGTACTCTGTAATGGAGTTCCTCGGAAGAGGTAAAAGAAAACAATATTTGTATACTGCAGTTTTTTAGTCTACATTGGAGACGTTTACGAGAACACATTAATTATTTATGACTTTGACTTTGTTGCATGGCTGCACGCCTGCACCATATAGTTACCTACATGACTGTGAGCAAGCTTATAGGAGAGAGGTGCCTAAGTTGTGTCTATACTATTCAGAATATTTTTTAATCAACATAATGTTAAGGTGGACTTTCTCTTTAATGACGCAATTTGATATGGTATTTTTGGCAGACGGTCGTTAATGTTGGAGAAAATGTCTTCATTAAAAGATGTGAGAACACCGCTTTCTTTTCATTTTCTTTATCATTCCTATTTTTGTTATACTTCTTCGTCGTCTTTTGGCTTTCTTCTATTTCTCTTTGACCATGTGCTCCTCTTGTAATAAAATTATTTAAACAAAAACAAAAACAAAGCTAGAAAACATCAGAGGCTACGCATGAGTTTCACCTCGAAATTAAGCAACGAACTGGAACAGGACAAATATATGGCGCTGGTGTGGTCATCACGCCATCGTTTAGCTTACTGTTTGGAACCAGCAACCTTGACATCTGGGCCATTATGACGTCACACTGAGTCATGATCGTCAAATACAATAAATGGTTACGAGACTATTTAAAGGTAATACAAAGTTTTGGTATGGGGTCATGAATTTGGTTCAAATGAATATACTGGAAGCATAAAAATGAAATCCCCGGATGCGATCCCACAATATTCAATGATCGTTGTCGCGGTTATAATCTGAGTCTATAAAGTGATCATAAAGTTGTGACTAATAAATTGTATAGCTCCTTCTCGAGATTGATGTTGATATTTCTCTAGCTTTAAAATCGACTGTTTGGAAATTATATATCACTTGAACTGCATATTCCTAGACAAATTCATGGTCGCAGCTACTATTATAGGCGTTATTTGAAATTTTGTCGGGAGCACCGAATAATTAGATATTTTAATTTCCCGAAACCCTTAGCGTTTTAGAGCCCTATTTTTTCAAAGTTGCTTAGTCTATAACACTAGGTTTCACAATGGTAATGCAAATTTCAAATTTCAATTATACAATCATGTTGAAATATTTCCAAAACTTTGATCGAAACGGGAGGCGAATTTAATATGGTTGATGATGTAGAGCTAGAAGCACCAGCAGGATTTTATATGTTTACCAGACAAAGCGCTTTTGTTTCTTCAAGGCTCGATTACATATTTGTAGCGATTAGATAAGCATGGTAAACAAATCGGATATTTTGACTGGCCTATAAAGCTATGTAATAGTGTTCTTGAAACTTGAGTCCTTGGACAACTCAACCCTTGATCGTGTGAAGCGATGCTGATTTTTTTAATTATATTATCAAAAACAATATTAAGCAATTTGAAGAAATCCATACTAGAACCAGTAATTCCAACTCCTTGGTAATTAATAGGCCTACAGACTTGCACAGTTAACATCTAATTAATAATACCCCCTCGTTAAATTTGATGTTTGTTTTTTTCATAACTCAAGAATTGAAAGGTGGACTGGTTAAATTATTGCCTTTGTTGAATACTTTTAAATGTTAGCTTTAAAATGTCTCATTTTAAGGAAACACAAATCGTGACAAATCAATTTGTGTACATGCATGCTAAAACGATTACGGCAAAACTTGGTAAGGGTATGAATAATTGAATTATTAAATGTAGGCCTAATAAGCTATATCCAAACACAAAATGTGATTCTGTTAAATGTTTTACAACATGTTATAGCCTACTGTGTTGAATATGGAACCAGGAAAAGTAAAGAGAGGAAAATAAAAATAAGGAAGCACTGATGGGTTGAATTGTGGATGTGCCCCTGATCACGAGTTTTACCATTTCATAAGATAGACGGTGCCTTGTTTGGAAATAAGCTTCGTCATCTTGTAAAACGTCATCTGCTATAAATAGATATCCCCATTGTAGTAGTACTAGGTTCGTGCGCAAATCTATGTTTATTCTTGGGGGAAAACAATTCGCTCACGTTATTGTGCGGGCGAGTTGGACTTTGTACTGGGTTTGTGTTTGTGTGCAAAACGAAAGGCGTTTTTCAGAGGGAGAAAAACCAGTTAAAAGAACACTGCTGAAGAACTGCATGATCACCTGACAAGAACACTGTTGCCAATTTTATCAATCGCTAGATTGGTGTTATATGTATATATTTTTCAACAATTTTTTTTAAAGTATCAAAATGAATTAAAAACAAAGTCAATTGCATAATTTTCTTTATATTATGAAAGCATTTTCAAATCTAAAAATGATACAAATTCACTTTACTCTTTTAAATTTTAAGTTGGCAATGTGATGATTGGGTCCACACATTGATGATATGCATTGATGTAGAAAACGTGCTCGAAGAGTCATTTTGCCATAATATTATGTGATGTCTCCTTTTCCTGGATTTTTCATCCCTGTGGCATTTTTCCAAAGGCTGGGATTTGCATGTGAACTAGGATGAAGAGTTCGAAAAACAGTTTTCAAACGTTTATTTCCAATAAATGCCACCATAAAGCAGCGAATATCTTGCGAATTTTCTAAATTCTAGGAAATATTATATGCATGCTTTTAAGATCATTTGTCATATAGGTTAACACGTGATAAGAAGGATTAGTTTAGGTTCTTCTTATTTTACCGTTAATCTGCAAAGGGCTATGCAACCTATACCAGGAAGATATTATGAAGGCCTGTGTAATTTACCAGTTTGGTATATGCCTACGCAGGCATGCACACTAACACCTGGTTTAGTACTCATTGCGAGATTATATATAATAGGCGAATATAATATTGTGTTCGTTTTAAAAACTAGTCAAATCATCATCAATAGTGATCTGTCAGTTTATGACAGGTTCAGTGACCCAATCAAAATTTTATATCAAGTGTTTCTCCAAGTTTCTCTCCAAGTTCCTCGGTCTTGAGCCATCGTTTCAGCGTTTCAATTGCTCCACATTCGGTGATTATACATGTCGTCTATTAAATTTACGAACTAGTATGTCCGATGGTCTATCTTCTTTCCATGAATACGACCTTCTATGACTCTGAGCCTCAAGCCCTCATCGTTGGACAGTCAAATGTCCAGAAGTAATAATGAATGCCACTAAATCAATTGTTCTTTGTTCAGGAATATATGTTTAGACAATGTATGAGTTTTCAACTCGATCATGGCAAAGTGCATTAATAGAATAGCATTCATGTCAGAAAATAGACTGTGACATAATTGCCATAATGTATGCTAAATGACAGATGTTTTTATCACCTCTCATCTCCCCCGAAACAATGGATTTTTGTGTAGCCTCCATAAATTATGAGCCCCATTCGACTGAGAGTAATTTTTCAGAAACATTCCCCAGACTAGCTCACTCGCTCCACCCGCTTGTTATAGTTTATCTCATTAAAATATATTAAAAACCTTATTTAGGGATTATGCCTAAAAAACCCATGAAGGTAATTTATTGCATATAATCAATCAGACCATTATCTACTAAAAACAGTTTGTTGTTGTTGGTGTTGACTGGGCTTTAAGGCTGTCCAATCTGAAAAGATTATTTCCGTCTGGCTATACACTGTCTTTCGAGTTATTCATCGATGATGATTATAAGGCGCCAAATCCAATTGACAGTCAAATGCTCAAGGCGCAGCTTGTGTAAAAGATGAAATACATACATGATACATTTATACAGAGTGCAATAGGAAAGGTACAGACATGAAAGGTTATGGTAATCAATTATAAGCTAAATTAAACAGATATTTCTTAAGATTGTTTTTTAACACTTCAGCAAAGCTGCAATTCTTAATCCATCGAGATGGCGCTATTTCTTTTTCTCTGGTTCATATATTGATTCAGCGAGTTTCACACAGCTTCCGTTCAATCGATGGTGTGGGCAATCATTGTACAGTAAAACCTGCTTTAGTGACCACCTGTCTACAAAGATCACCTGTCTACAAAGGCTACATTTGTTGTTTCCCTTGAAAATGGTTTCTCATTGAATTATGTACTAAAGGAACCTGTCTACAAAGACCACTTTTGTGTTTCCCTTGGGTGGTTGCTATAATAAGGTTATAGGAGTCGAACGACGTGAACAGGGTGCGAGTAGTAATAAAGGTTAACTGTGCAGTGTCAAACTAGGCTTTTCTTCCTTTATCTTTTGTAAATTTGTTTAAATCCTACGGAATATGTTAATTATCAATGTTCACAAATTCCACAGCCAAAATAGTGTTGAACTAGTTTTTTTTCTTTTCTGTCTGCTATTCAGTGTTCATTGTCGAATCAATTACCTTCCTGCCAGACATTCTGCATACAGCAATAAAAGGTCTTAAATATTTACAATAATATGCGATCAAAACTTATTAATATAAATTATATACCGTGTTCAAACCCTATTGTGATCAGGCGCGTACGCATGGGGGGGGGGGGGGGGGGTTAACCCTCTTCATTTTTTAAAAATATTTGTTTCTGTTGAGAATTAATGCTATCCCGCTCTCTCTCTCTCTCTCTCTCTCTCTCTCTCCATTGGCACTCCTTCCCCTCTTCCCTTCGTTTTTATCTCTCTTCCCATCTCCCCTCTGTCTCTCCTTTTTCTTTTCATTCTTCCGTCCTCTCTCTGTCCCTATCTTACCTTCCCCTTCACTCCTCTCTCTCTCCATTGGCACTCCTTCCCCTCTTCCCTTCGTTTTTCTCTCTTCCCATCTCCCCTCTGTCTCTCCTTTTTCTTTTCACTCTTCCGTTCTCTCTCCCCCTCTCTCGCATTCCTCCACTATCTCTCTCACTCTATAATTATACATTCAGCTTCTCTCCTATGAATACGCTCATCAGCTGCCTCTCATTCAGATAAAAATGTCTTGCATCTTTATAATATACTTTCATTCTGTATGCTTCATATTCCATTTGCTAAAAGAAAAATCCTTCAGGTACAATTTAAATTTGTTGTAAAATCAGTATAAAGTTTTATGAGAACAATATGAAATGTGTGGTGACAATGTCCTAGGGATGTTTCACAAAGACTAAGATCGACTTCAAGTTGGATTTAACTTTGACAGGCCATTCGTGCCACTGGTTACTCTCACTATTGGTCTCTCAATTATGATCTTTAGATATTTTTTCCTTCAATAATGAACTTTCAAAAATATAAATTCTGTAGATTTGAGACCACGATTTATACAATTTTATTTTCAGAGACCTATGCCAGTAAATGTGAAGACCAAACACTGAGTGGCATACACGGTCTGCCATAGCAAGTCCAACTTAAAGTTGATGTTAGTCTTTGTGAACCACCAACTGGAGTTCCTTCCAGATTACAGTTATGATTTGAGTGTTCATTGAAGTATTAATATAAGTCCCTTTAGAGTAAGTTGTAATAAAAATAATAACAATATTTATAAAGCGCAACATATCCATCTCCTGACAGATGCTCAAGGCGCATACAAACAATTTAAATTAATATTCAACATACTTACGATTAATGAAATATTAAATGTTAACTTACATTAGATAACACAACTTCAAGGTGCCATGGTACATACAATGTGGCACAGAGTGATTATTCGTTTTGCATGCATTGTATAAAAAGAACATTGAAAATTAACAATATGCATTGAGCATCAGGTGAGTTTTAAAAGTAGAGAGAGTGCAATATTACTGTTCCTATTTCATGGACGTGGCATTTTGTGTGTGATAAATACAATCAGAAATACAATCAATTGATTTGAATTTTAATATTTGGTAAAAAGTTATTTTGTTTTTTTTGCACATGCCTGCACATATTTGCTATCAAAAATGAAATAATCATCGTAGCTTGAACATATCACAGTGGAATTTACCTTTTCATAAAGTTGGTCTCTATTTTTTTACCTATAGTTTCTGAAATAACATTGAAATACCATGACAATTTATGACACGCTACAGAAAACAAGGTATGAATGACAAAAATTCAATTTGCTCATTGCGAAGTTCAAGGATGAGGTAGACAAAAATACATTGATTAAAAAAAAAACACAATACTTTTTCAAATTTTTCACGCAACATGTAAATTAAGAACATAGTATTTAGCATTCCTTTCTGGTTGATATCCATTCAGTAACATATGTAATACCTACTCTGTTCAAAATAATAAGATATATATATTTTTTTTTTAATTCCTTCTCCATCTAAAATAAATATAATAAAGATGTGACATGTCCATGGAAGCAAAACATGTTTTGCCAAAGCTGTTTACTCTCATGAAAACAATTTTATAGGTTCATGAAAAAGTTAATTACATTGAAAGTCCTCCAAAACAATTTTACAGGATCATGAAAAAGTTAATTACATTGAAAGTCCTCCAATTGATGTAGAATTATACAAGAGTTAAAAACAAGAATAACTAACAGGAACTTGAACTAAATTCTGAATAATTTGTGCCAAATCTAAAGCAGTACATGTATCAACAACAAGGTAAAAATGTACACTTTAAAATATCCTCTTTACATATGGAAATGATATATATTTAGAGATAAATCCATGATTTGGCAAAAAAATATCTAGAAATTAGACGAAAGCATTGTGAATATGCGTACTCCACATAAACCAATGTAATCAAATCAATAGCTAGTTTTTATGTAGAAAACTTCTGATTTTCAAAGCTTTAGATTTTGAGTTTTTTTTAGAGAACTGTTACTCCTCTGACAGACACTAAAATAGCATTTGATTAATATTATTGGAATCTATGGCTCATACACTTTCAATTGATAAATCATTCATCTACCGGTATGTTCTTTTACATTTCCGTTAAATTTAAACGCTAAGCAAAAATTCTTAATTTTTTTTTTATACAAAAAATTAATATATGATCTATTAAAATAGGTCAACATTAATAATAATTGATAATACTCAGCTTTTGTATAGCATCAATTACAATTAAGTCTCTAAGCGCTTCCAAACTTGGAGATTATTACCCGGCTTTAGCTGTGCTGCCATTACGGCGCTCTAGCATTTCAAGGAATTAATCCCGGCTTGTCAGGTACCTATTTGCATCACCTGGGTTTGGTGTGGCAAGTGTAGATCCATGTCTTGCCAAAGGACATAAGTGGCGCAGCGGGACTTGAACTGCGGACCTTGTGGTCAATAGTCCGGCGACGTAACCACTCGACCACAACATTAACTAGCCTTTGCTATGTGTTGACTTCATTTATACTCCACTGTCTTGCTGCAATTCTACGAAGCTCTGTAAATTCTGATGATAAATAAACACCCTATAACACAAACAAACAATACTATGCAATACAAGACATAGCCTATCAAGCCATATATCAAGTAGACCAGCCCGGCTTGCTGATGGCCACTGATCACTGGATGGGCGTCGTTGTTGAGGAGGACCTGGTTTGGGGGTACCAAGATGGAGGATCCAAAGAAGCCAGTCAGGTGATTGCAGAGGCAGTGGGTTGTGGAGGGCTTCGAAAGAGGCCCAACCTGTTTAGAATTATGAATTAAAAACAAAAATACAAGCAACATTAAAATGATGGCTAATGCAAGGTTATCAGCAGATAGGGACGGGACAAGGGTGACTGTCATATAAAGTTGTATACCATCAGTCCCAATATAAAGTTGCTTATTTTGTATTTAGATGTGGCTATTTCTTATGTAAATGTAAATGTGGCTATTTCTTATGTAGATGTGGCTTTGTCTTATGTAGATGTGACTATGTCTTATGTAGATGTGTTTATTTCTCATGTAGATGTGGCAGTTTCTTATTTAGATGTGGCTATTTCTTGTGCAGATGTGGCCATTTGACGTAGATGTGTTTATTTCTTATGTAGATGTGTTTATTTATTATGTAGATGTGGCTATTTCTTATGTAGATGTTGCTATTTCTTATGTAGATGTGACTATGTCTTATGTAGATGTGTTTATTTCTTATGTAGATGTGGCTGTTTCTTATTTAGATGTAGCTATTTCTTGTGCAGATGTGGCTATTTGATATGTAGATGTGTTTATTTATTATGTTGATGTGTTTATTTCTTATGTAGATGTGGCTATGTCTTGTGTAGATGTGGCTATTTCTTATGTAGATGTCGTTACTTCTTATGTAAATGTGGCTATTTCTTGTGTAGATGTGGCTATTTCTTGTGTAGATGTGGCTGTTTCTTATTTAGATGTGGCTATTTCTTTTGCAGATGTGGCTATTTCTAATGTAGATGTGGTTATTTCTTATGTAGATGTGGCTATTTCATGTGTAGATGTGGTCATTTCTATAAATCTCAGCTTCACCTCCTATATTTATTGAATTAAATCACAACTCCTTATCAAATTTGGGGTATACAGATAAAGAAAGACGATTACCATGTTAACTACTATGCATGGTTTTATCAAGAAATTCATATTACATTTGAAGCATTCAAACATGAAATACAACAGCATTCAAAATTTGTGTTGTACACAGTAATCAATCAATTACATTCTTCAGAAAAAAATTCTTCAAAACTCATAATTAAAGCAAGTATTCTGTATCAAAGGTCATGGCAAAGATTTGTTTTCAAACTGAGAAAACTAATATCAGGCATATATTTGAAAGCGGGAAATGTATAAACCTTAATGCTAGGCTTTCAAGGAATAATGCACAGTGGAAACTTGTTATAACGAGGTCCTAGTTTGAACCAAGGAAATTACCTTGTTACATCAGGGCCCTGTCTTACAAAGAGTTGATTTCAATCACAACTTATTTGGGACTGATATCAATCGCAACTATGTACATAAGAGATAGGAGACTGCAAACTTGTGATTGATTTGGATCAATCGCAACTGTAAGGCTGGGCCCTGGAATCTTGTTATATCAGGGTAAAAAAAGCAAGTGAATATAATGAGCTGGGACCAAAATCACCTTGTTATAATAAACAGATACCTCGTTATATCAGCGCTCCTTATGATAAGGTTCCACTGTAATGTACACTATACTGATCACCAATTGAATGGTGTAGTCCCATACCTTACATCCTGTGCTGTCCCATTCCTGCTGGTCTTCATTCCAAAAATTGCACTGTAAGGTGTGCATGAAAACAGACAGAGTGATGTTGTCATCTTGATAGCAAGGCTGATCTTCAATATCGTATAGTCTAATCATGATCCCATCCGCAGCTGCATAAAATAGATAATATGAACACAATAAGCCATTAAAATAATTCACAGCAGCGAGGGCATTAATAAAACTTACCCACACAATTAAGGTACATTTAGAACAGTCTAACGTTAGGACTGTTTTGAAGATACCGAGTCTGGATAATTTTACTAATGCCTGAACAAAATGATGTGTATTATTTGTTTTATAAGATTATGTTTTATTAGTTTTATAACATGATGTTGATAATGACCGGTCATTATCCAAATTAGGCGTCAGGCAAAATAAATGCCTGGTCAGGTGTACACTTTCAACCTCTCATTTGATTAGGATCCACGTCATCATCTTATGATTATTATAATTTAGAAGTGAAAAGAAAACTGAAATAAAGCTTGTTGAATATGGATAATAATCAGCATATAATTGTTTCAAAATATTGATGAGCCGGCCATGCATATATGTTTACATTACACTATGATAAACAACAATTTTTGTTATTGTTGCAAATATCTGAAAGAAGCTCTGAATCGATAACCTAGCTAGCTCACCCAAGAGTAATCTTACCAAAGTTTGTACAGATTTAGCATTCACACAGGTTTGTTGGTTTATAACATACAGGGTGGCTCCAAAAAAATGCAACACAATTTTTATTGGCAACATTTTAAAAAGTTACTTGATTGTTCTCATTGAAATATCAGAGATACTTAATTAATTGTCAGACTTTCTTTTACTACACTGCTGATCGACACACTTTCCAGTCAGATAAAAATTAGCTGATCATCTAATTTTTTTCCTGCAAATGTTCTTTTTCATGGCAAACAATTTTGAATGTAACAGCATCTCCAATGTGGAAAATTACATTGTTTTAGTTTTCATTTCGTCACTATAATTGTATTATTGTATTGCTAGTGACCAAGGATATCGCCGCCTGGCTGGCAAAAGGGCCTTAGCTCGAATTTTAGGTAAAAAATGAAACTTTAAGCAGAAGGGCGTTAGCACTAAATGGCCTCAAACTTTTATAAAACTGACTTATTTCCAAGAAAAAAATAGTGGCTGTGTTCTACTACAACATTTCCATTAGTCTTCTATGTCTTCAATTTTCGGGACGGAAAGCAGTCTAAATATAAAACAAATCTTTAAATGCGAATAATTCAAAAAGTAGTTTTTGAGCTGCTCTCGTGCTAACGCCCTTCTGCCACCCAGTCAACGATATTTTTGAATTGAATCCCAAATTGTCTAAATATCATAGTAAAATGAATATTGAATATGATACAAACTCCTGTTTTTTAAAGGGATTGTTCAGTAAAATAAATGAACATGAATCTGGTATTGTGAAGACTAACCTTTCAAGTCAACCAGAGGGACAGTCCATGTGAAGTTAGCATCAGTGTCCGGGACCTCATCGCTGACACCCAGTGTGGTGTCGTCCCCAACACAGCTAGTCTCAGAAATGCTGATTCTTGCTGTACATATAGACAGGGCAACCATGGGCTCAGTCTCAGATATGACCGTCAGGTGCAGAGCTCCTTCGTCAGGCATTGATGAATGGTCGATGACGATGGAAGAGGAGGAATTCTCGGTGATATGGACCAAGACGGGATCTGCTGACAGAGTTTCTCTCATTGGTATGTACACATCGATGTAAGCACTCAAATCATGGACTGTAATAATTGGAATGAGAAAAGTTTATATATTTATATCTAAAAATAATGGGGGCTTCTAGTACAAAGCGCCCATAAGAAATAGCCACATCTGCCCATTACGCTCTAACGGCCCTGGGCAGTGTTTCACAAAGACTAAGATCGACTTTAACTTAGACTTAACTATGGCAGGCTGGTCATGCCACTGTTTGCTCTGATCATTTACTGGCATTTGTCTCTCAAGGCACGTACAAATGCTGGTCACAAATCTACAGATTTTATATAGATAATTGATGATTTATTATTGAAGGAAAAATATTATCTGAAGATCATAACGGTGAGAGAAACCAGTGGCATTTAATTGCCTGCCATAGTTAAATCCAACTTAAAGTTGATCTTAGTCTTTGTGAAACACTTCCCTGGTGCTCTAACAGTATAATTACTCCAGTCATAGATGAACAGCCAAATGTGTACGAGGCTCTAGCAAAGTGTGTACCAATGACACCTGGGTGGAGAGTGGTAATTGTGGATTAATGTCTTGCCAACTGATGTCATATCAGGCTGGCCTTTGAACCCACAACCCTTTGATGTCATAGATATACAATCAATCAAGATCAACGTGCTATCGGTCATGAATCATTAGAGTGGCATTTAAGGTCAGTGAAAACATTATTATCATTTTTAGGAAGGTTATGGATTCGTCTGTGACTGCAATTATTATTATCATTATTATTATTGTTTTTATGAAGGTTGGTTTTGAAAAATATAAAACAGATATATCATTCAAACCACTAGTGAAATTATTGATTCCTCGGCGACAGAAATAATGCTATTCCTGCCACCTCGATCCATAATTTCAACTAGAGCCTCTCAATGCATGGTATATTTGATTCCATTTTTTATAAATGATCTTACACTCTAGTATATGATCCGCTTTGAGTTGGATTCCTACGATGCTAGACTTGACAGATTCTCCACCAGCTCCCAACCAACTAAATGGGTTCCATTTCATAGCTGACATCTGAAATAAAATAAAGCAACCCATGGAATCTCACATTCACAACTTAGTCAAGAGACCAATAATATCCACTATGCAACATATTAATTTAATGACATTTGAAAATGCGATATTTGACACGCTTCAAAATCGACTAGTTTGACTTCATTCATTAAAATTCAAATGCTTAAATTCTACATTAAAGAAAAAAAACTTTTATACTGGGTAGTCATTGTGTATGCCACAATAGTGATAGTGGTGGTTATTTTACCTGACAGCTAAGAAAGCAATAAATGCTTGTTAGTAAGCAACCAGAAGACCGACGGCTTAAGGTCCTCTCCGAGGGACCTGATAATGAGGATTAATGCCTTACCAAAGGGCACTAGCGCATCGACTTGATTTCGAACCCCGGGTCACGGGATAACGAGACCACTGCTCTACCGACTGAGCTATCGCGTCTCCTTTGCAACTGGTAGTTCTTGAAATAATTAATTCACATTTATAATTTCATGACAGAAGGGAAGAGAGATAGCCTGCCACGTGGAGTATATTCATATCTAATGAAGATGCCATGAATAGCGCTCTAATATTCTGACCACCACTCATCTTAGAATACATATCTCCTACAGAATTAAAATGATCAACTTCCTTTAAAGCTATTCTAAAGGTTGAGAGCCCCCCCCCCAAAAAAAAAAAAAAAATGGATGGCAAAATATCACTTCAATTGTATAATGAAGTGAAAGAGGATGTTATTGAGCACTGACTTTTGCAAGGATTTTCAGAATAAATGTGTTTGAAGACGAATTTCGATGAAAGAATACAAAATTCAGAATCGTAAGAGCCATATTGATTAATCATTTACGTTCCCAGAAGATATTAACTTTATTCATTAAGAAAGATATTAACTTTATTTATCAAGAATAACCATACTGTCACAATCATTTCATTAAAAATGAGGCAAGTATAAATAAAGTTGCAGTTAGAATGTTACCTTCATGCTCACAGTTGTCCCATTAACATGTGCCATTGTTTGATTCAGGACATCATCAGAAGGCATCCTAAAGCTACCAAGATCCTCCTCTGAACCTCCGAAGGTAGCCTCTGCAAGCTCGTCTCTGCTGATACTGCCTACTGCTATGCTGAGGGCAGGCGATGTAATGACGGTAGCTGCTTCACTGGGAATCTTGCCGGCTACTATCGCATCTTGTATGTCATTGACTGCAGACACAGTGACTTCTATCAAGTTCTTCAGGAGGAGCAACGATTTATGGTATGAAACGATATGATATGATGGCAAATATTTGCCATTTCTTGCCGGCTACCAGCTATTGCATCTTGTATGTCAATGATTGCAGACACAGCAACTTCTATCAAATTCTTCAGGAGGAGCAATGAGTTATGGTATCATCCAATATTTTGTTGTTGATTTGATTTGATTTCTGCATTTTTTCCAAATAAAATATAACTAAATAACAAAGAACATATAAATGTAAGGTATAATACAACATAAACAAACAATAATTTCTTCATGTCAAAATGTTTTTTTTTACATAATATATGTACATATAATAACAAAACTTAATAACATATTATCATAAATTTAAAGTATTATCCAAACTATTCTGTTGGAAAAGTGCAGGAGACCGCAATCAAAAGCAAAGATTGACAAGGATATGATATGATTGCATATTTTTGCCAAATAACAAGATGAAATAAATAATAACATTAACATTGTTGTTAACAATATGAACACGTTATTCAAATTTATTGTGAACAGAATAAAACAAGACACATGCAAATTCGGAATAGGAAATGGATAGAACTATCTGTGACATGTCACAATGAAAACAAAAAACCTATATAATCAATGTCAACCGACGAATATGATCTTGAAAGAAATCTCAATGAGATTGTTACAATTTCTTTCTGGCAATCTTACTATAAGGTGCACAAAACACCTCTATCATCTTTAACAACTGTACTGCCTTGCCATTTCTGGCATCGAAAGGCTTTGCCCCCCAAAAAACAAGGTTTTTATGGCGGTGTTTTATGAAAAAGAAATGACAGAGGAACATACAAAAAAGGGATAAAAAGAAGACAAATATCTTATCAGATTTTACCTTGTGATCCTCTGCCTGTTGAGTAATGTTGTTTGAAAGAAGACTTTCCGTTTCCTTGGCAGCGCTTAAGATATTTGACAACCCCTCAACCAAAATGGTTCCTGCTGACTCAATATTCTCCTGATCTTGCGTATAAGACCCAGATTGTGATTTGAGGAATGATGTCATTTCAGATAATGTACTTGCAGCTAGCATCTGGTTTAGGGGATAAAATTGATATGTTCAAAATAATGTACACTCAAAATTGAAAATAGAAAATAAAGTTTACACTCTTTAATATTCAATTTTTGTGTATGAATTACGATTCATTAATTAAACCGTTAGAAGGTCTCATTTGTATGAATCAAGAATGAAAGACGGACAAGTCTAATTAGGAACTTTGTTGAATACTTCTAGAAGCAAGCTTTAATATGTCTTATTCTCATAAACATGAATTGGGAAAAATCTTTTTTTTCTTCTTCTTCTCATACTTAAAAAATTACAAAACTTGGTAAGGGTATGAATAACTTAGTTGTTACCTGTACATGGACAGTCAGAAAGTGGATCATTGTATCATTTTAATTTGCCCACCTGTACTTCGGGAGATATCTCTTGCTTGTTGTAAGTTATGACGGCGAGGGCGGCAGAGCTCTGCCTCAGATATGTCATAGACTCTACCGGTATGGCGGCCACAGAAGTAACAAGAGAAGAGCGTATCTTTTTAAAAAAAGAATAAAGAAAGCTAAGGTTCATCACAGGTGTAGACGCTTATTCTCCACTTGATATTTGGGGCAGGAAATAAAGAATAGTTATAGTACCCTAAACTACACATTAGTGGGTCTTTGTCTCTAAAGTTAAGTGTCTGATAAATTTTAGACACTCAAAGCCGACTATATTACAAAATCTTATAGTTAAAAAAAAAAAGTTTAAAAAAAAAATTAAAAGAAAATATGATCTACTCTCTACTTTATCTAGTATTTCAAATCAAATTCATCATCTGTTTAGAGTACCTACACTTATGGGTCCATATAGTTTTGATATGCAATCCTAAAAGAATTATGGGCAAAAAAGACAGACAAAGAGTTTAGATTTTGATTCATATAGAAATAGAAATTGCTGCTGGAAGCAAATTCTCCATTCAAAAGAAGAACAAATAATGTCTTTGTTCCATACCTCTGACCTGGTTTCTCTCCCTTCCTGAGTTTCATCCTCCTCTCCAATGGAATTAAGAATGGACCCAAGGGCACTGATGAGTTGTGCAGCTTGTGCTGTATCTCCTACTGCTAACAATGAGTTCACATTAGATTCAACGTACAATGTCATATCCAGTAACTCCTGTGTGACGTTCATCCCTACAGCATCCATAGATAGAGGGTAAACCTGGAATTATTAAAGAAGTTATATTAAAGAGTTATAATAAAAAGAAACACCATATTAAAGTTGCTCAAGCGTGGGTATATAGAGGGAAGCACACAGACATACACACACAGGAGCGTAATACTCATTGTCTTGTGCTATTAGTGTTATGTAGTAAAGTGATCGCCAAGTTGCCTACTTCACGAACGACTATAAACCCGTCCCTGAACATCTTTAAAGCTTCATTTGGTCATGATGTGGTAAATCGAGTACATAAAGGAATATTATGTGTGTAAATAAATGAAAGGAAAAGGGATGTGAAGAAAAAACTAGCTGCACGCCTGAAACAGTTCATCGCATATATTTTCTAAATGTCATCAGTTGTTTTACTAGTATGTGCACTCAAACTGCAGAGATGCCAACCTTCTTCAACAAAAAAAAGTATTCTTAAGCGCAAAAAACAGTATTTTTGGACAAAAAACAGTATTTTTGAAAAAATCTCTCAACTTAACATATCGCCCTATCGAGCAGCTTAAAAAACCCGGCAGTACCACGTTTAAGTACCCGGATCGGAGCGTGACGTGCATACATTACATGTGGGTTGTTGGCAATGTGCGCAGTTTGGGGCCCGTATCACCATCCTGCGTGCATCGATTGAAGATGTAGGTGCACAATACACTTACGACACAAAGCCCATGATCAGAAATTAAGAAAAACGTCACTAAAAAAAAAAAAAAAAAAAAAAAAAAAAAAAAAAAAAAAAAAAAAAAAAAAAAATAAAAAAAAACAAAAAAACTAACAAAACATACAAAAAACGTACTGCCGTATTCATAGCGAAAAAACGGAACAGTTGGCATCTCTGAAACTGATACTTTCTTTCCATGCCAAAAATTATCCTCTTGTTTATTTGTGTTAATTAGAAAACCAAACATTTGCTCTGCATGCGCAGGTGACATCCAAATAGTCCACAGACTAACTTAATTTACTTTCAGGAGCAGTCATCAGTGCAACTTTCAAAAGGGCCGCACTACATTAGTCCTTGCACTAAAAATGAAGCACTATTAAAGTGCATGGGGTCTTTCAGGTATTACTAAGTATGTTATTCTGAATTAAACTCAATAATCTTAACTGAAATCTTCTTGTCCTCAAACTTAAAGATAAAGTTGAGTTCTCGTCATGTGATTGCATTGTGAAAGAAACGTTGTGGAATCGATCAGAAAAAAGTTGATCATGAAGCATACAAGTATTGGTGTGTACTTCAAGGTTCTGGAATCATCAAAATGATAAGAAATTTGGGCCAGTCTTGATAAAGTAAAGAGCACTGTTCACAAAAAGATGTTTATGGGACAACACAAACATGTGGCATAAACATCGAGCCTCATTTTTAAGCTGTTTCTTGTCGTATATAAATATGAAGACATTTAAAGAGCCATGCGTTTCAGGAATCATTTTTTCTCTGATGTTCTTCCACACTTACATGATAACAATGATAACGCTCACAAATTATTTTTCACCTCTTCCCAAAACACACCCATCTCTTTAAGTAATGAGATTTGTTTGTTTACAGCAATTTATAAAAACAGGAGAAAAACGGAGCTGTCAGCAGCAAAATTTATATCATTTCTAGAATAGAAAAGATAAATGTTTACAATTAATATACTCACTCTAGCACTTTTGTACACTGATGTCTTGGCAGTGTTACATTCTTTCACATTAACTTGGATTGAAACAGTATGAAGATCAGTACCAACTCCAGCTGGTAGATACAGGCCATCTCTGATTGACTCACTGCCTTCATACAGTTCAAAACCTGTATAGAAATTAATGGAACAAATAATTATAATGATAATAATTACAGCATTTGTGATGCGCCATCGATCTAGTAAACTGTTCTGAGGCACAGAGGGATAAAAAATAGAATAAGCTGCATACAGAAAAATGAGAACAAATATGCATAGATGTACATTCAACATATATTTAACTAAATAACATGCAAACATATATGGCTTTAGATTCTTTTAAATGATTTTAGGGATTCTAGTGATCGGGTCTACAAAGAAAAAGAACAAAAATGAGCAACTAAAAGCCAAAGATAAAATGCATTTCTCTCATTCATAAATATAGTATTATACAACAAAACATTACATGAAATACTTTTTAGTTGTACTAGCATTCCAAAAAATTATGTATGATATTTACAGCATTTTACATCATATTAAAAGGAAAACTGAACTATAGTTGAAAACCTGTATGTAAAGTAAGCAGATAAACCATGAAGAAGAAGAAAAAATAGGCAACTAAAAGCCAAAGATGAAAATTGCGTTTCTCTCATTCATAGATATACAACAAAACATAATGTGAAATAATTTTTAGGTGTGCCAGCATTTAAACAAATCATGTCTGATATTTACAGCATTTTACATTATATGGAAAGGAAAATAGAAATTTAAAGTTTCAGTGACTTAAGCGATCAACACATTCTATCAAAAATTGTCCTACTTGACATTTTCTTGAACTATTAATTAGTTTGAAGTCAAACTACTTGATATAATATGGCTGATTTTTACTGGAAATTGGTGAAGCTGGAAATAATATTGAACCCATTTCTAAACAAATCACTCATGCTTTTACAATCACATTTTTGACTCAGCTTTGGTTCTACCCAAGATCTAATGAAAAATGGGAATGGAATCATAACCCCCCACCCCCCCCCCCCTCCACCTGCCCCTTCCTGCCCTTTGGTCTCAGATTTAGGTCCAATGGTCTCCGCTACATCACTGGTAGGTGTACATTAAAAAAAATGTTGTATTGCCCTTTGCGATCGACCCAAGAATCTTAAAATCAACGACTAGCTTTAAAAAACTGTTTTTTCGAGAAAAAAATGTTGAATAAATTAATAAATATGTATTTTGTTTATTTAAGTGAGATATAAATACATGAATTCTCAAATTATTCCCAAATTTTCACTCATCTTCTGCCCTAGTTTTAACACCCTGCTAGCGTAAACAAGTAGACCCCGGCCTCGTGTACGTGTATATACCACGCACTGCACCAGCGAGAAACCAGTGAGTTTTGGGCAACGTTCCCGGTTTTGAGTTTTTGGGGGCAACGGTCGCTGTTTTGAGGGGAAAAAATATATATATATATCTGACTGACCGACCCAGGTTCTGGCGCTTAAAGGGCAATAAAACACCTTTTTTTCTAGGCCTTTAATACTTCAGAAATGTACCTTCTCCTCTGCCCACAAATATCCCATCCACTACATCCACACGGCTGAATAAAATGATCTGATATGTCAAGGGCTCATCCACATTAGTGAAGCCAAAACATGTGACGGTGAAATCAGTTTGTAGGGCATATCCCTCGTCGGGTGTCACAAGACAGCAGCCTAATGAGGGTGGGGCATTGAAGTGGACGTTGAATTCAGCATAGCCATCAGAATCGGACTGGTAACCTGTATAGTTGAAAATGGAAACATAATGAGTAAAAACAACCTCAACAATAATTTCTTTGGGTGGTATTCTTGAAAGCGGACTAACTTTATTAAAGTCCATGGTTTAATCCTCCGACTAAGTATGGAATGCCAAGTGTCCATATGAATATATTTTTGAATAATTTGATATGTCCCTAAATTGCCATGATAACATAATTATTTCATAATTATATTATTATTTATTAATTATGTTATTACATTTTATTTTAATTTAGTGGCACATTAAATTATTCAAATTATTCCTCTTTCGAGAATACCACCTTATATGTTTTTATAAAGTTTAACAGTCTAATCCAATCACTTGAAAATAATATCAAATCTCATGAGAACTTTCAAATATTTTGCAACTACAAATAGTTTGCTTTGTATTTGCAACATCAAGTATTCACCAAGTTTAAATATAAAAGCATAATCTCCATGTACTCTTCACACATGTCAGCTTTGAAAAGAAAATGACAACAACACTCACAAATTTTTAAGTCAAGAATCTCTATGATTGTGTACTAACCTTTGACTTTACATGATAATGCTTCATGCCTTACACATGAAATTGAATAACTGAACAGGTGCAGTCAAAAGAAATTCTATTAGCAGCTGCAATTTTGGAAGTATTACAGGCCTAAAATTTCAAAGCTTGGAATACTTAAAAGAAACTCATACAATGATATTACCCATCTCAGACATCAATTAAAGTGTTCAAGGTTTAATGACCAAGTATGGTCAGAAGGAATAACACCAGGTGACTGTTTTACAAAGACTAAGATCGACTTTAAGTTGGACTTAACTATGGCAGGCTGTTCATGCCACTGGTTGCTCTCGTCATTGGTCTCTCAATTATGATCTTTAGATAATATTTTTTCCTTCAATAATGAACTATCAAAAAATGTCAATTCTGTAGATTTGTGACCATGATTTGTATGTCCTTTAGAAACCAATGCCAAAAATGGTTAGAAGAACTAGTGGCATGAACGGCCTGCCCTAGTTAAGTCCGACTTAAAGTCGATCTTAGTCTTTAAACACTCTCCAGCAACAAGTTTCCAATGTACAGTTGAACCTGCTTTAGTGACCACTGTCTACAGAGACCACATTTATTGTTTCCCTTGAAAACGGCCTCTCATTGAAACATGTACTAAAGGAACCTGTCTAGAAAGACCACCTGTCCACAAAGACCCCTTTTTTGTTTCCCTTGGGGGGTCGCTATAGACAGGTTTGACTGTAGTCCAGGCCTCGCATTTTGAAGTTTGGTGTGCTTACCGGTAACGCGTAGAATGATGCTACCCGTTTCAGATATGGAATCAAATGTGTGCGGCTTGATGACCAGGTAGGGTTGGTCAGTCCCTGTAGAAGTCTGGGAAGACAAGTCACCTACAGCAGAGGTATGATCTGACTCAAGACTCCATTGGAAGACTACATCTTCATTCTCACCGTCACAGTTGGTGCACGAGGCATGTAGGACCAGACGCTCAGCTGTGGAGATGTACATGTTGCAGTTACTGATGCAACTATGGATACAGAGAAGACATAGTAAGGTATGTTATGATGTATATTATGATTTCTGATTGATATGCGTCTGTAAAAACCAAATCACACATTGAATTTTACAAAATTTGTAATGAATATTTCCACATCTTGAGTAGATGACCTGATTTCTGTGGTATTATTTGTCTAGAATAACTCTATTTTATTTATGTATTTAAATATGTTTAAATAATTGAAATTTCTCCCAGGAAGCATTAGATTTATAAAGTTATTGTCCTATGGCGGACTAATGAATATTAATAAGTCAGAATAAATCAGGAAAGCTTGGGTATTTTTTTCTAGTTCATCATGACTGTGCCATGGACCAGTGATGGTCTGGTGGTAAAGTCGCTACCCGGCAAGCTGTAGATGCAGGTTCAAGTCCCGCTGGTTTCAAGATTTTGTCTGACTTTTTTTTCAATACAGATTGATCAATCGATCTAATACTGGGTGTTAGCCACAAATATGTTTAAATAACTTTATCTTATGTTGTCATGATCCAGTAGTCAATCCTAAGCTAACAATTCCTTTGACCATGTCTTGTGAAATCTAAAATACACTTTGTTAACCCATAGCCAACGGGAACCGGGCGACTCCTGTTTTAAGTCTATGGGAATAAGAGAATTTAGGAGACAACGGGTTAAACAATCCCAATAAATGGTTTTACATCTAGAGTCAATTAGCTGTTGAATACGTATGGCCATATATCTTGCAGTCCACTGCAATCTATGATAAAATGACACACCAGTTCTCTCCCCATTTGTCTAAGCCATTCATATAGGCGTGATAGCTCAGTCGGTAGAGCAGTGGTCTCATAATCCGGCGACCCGGGTTGAAACCAAGTCAATGCGCTAGTGTACTTTGGTAGTGGATCAAATTCAGAAATCTCTCCATCAACACCGCCCCCGGCAACCTATCACGCATCCTAAAGATTGAGTTTTACTCGGAATAAAAGAGTTACTATCAACTCTTTTGACTCTGTTATTCTCCCACTGATGCTGCTACAGGTTAAAATGAAATCAGTTGTTAAATCCGGATACCAGGGCCCTCAGAGAGGACCTAAAACCATCGGTCCTCTGGTTGCTTTAATAACATATCAAATGTACAGAAACTTTGAAATGTGTCAATTTGGGGAAATGTTGAATGTTTTCATATCTCAAGTAGATGATATCTGATATCTATCTCTGGCAATAGTCATGAGGCCAACTGAATTTGTTGTTGTAGTGATCCATTTATTATTACTTCTCTTGCCTTAACTAATTCTTTAAAATGAAATTCTTGATGTAGTTCGATGCTGGAGATCTTAACAAATGTTTCAACATCTTAAAGCCCCACTGTACTACTTATAGCTACTTGCGCCCTCTATATAGCAAGCAATGTCTAATCAGTGACCATTGGCCCCTCATGGCCCCCTTTTTTAAAGTTAATTGAGAGCTGATTTGATGAGATAACCACCTGTCAGTGACCATGCAGGGAGGTCTAATCCCTTCTGGCCAAACTAGTGCAGATAGGATTTAAGTAGATTGCCTGATTTCTTTTTCTGGCAATAGCCCCGGGGTCAACTGGATTTATTGTTGTATTGAACCATATTTGTTACTCCTCTTGCCTTAATCAATCCTTTAAAATAAAATTCTAAATCTAGTAGGATCATGGCAATCTTAACAAATGTGTCAACATATTAAGAAGATTACCTACTTTCTATTTTTTGGCAATAGCCACGGGGTCAACTAGATTAGCTGATGTATTGATCCACTTTTTATTACTCCTCTTGCTTTTTCCAATCCTTTAAAATAAAATTCTAGATGTAGTAGAATGCTGGAAATCTTAAGAAATGTTTCAACATATTAAATAGATTACCTGATTTCTATTTCTGTCAATAGTCAAGAGGTCAACTGGATCTGTTGTTGCATTGATCCATTTGTGTTTCTCCTCTTGCCTTAATCAATCCTTTAAAATAAAATTCTAGATCTAGTAGGATAATGGGAATCTTAGCAAATGTTTCAACATCTCGAGTACATTACCTGATTTCTATCTCTGGCAATAAATATTCATGAGGTCAACTGGATTTGTTGATGTATTGATCTATTCTTTTATGCCTCCGTTACGAAGTAGCCGGAGGCATTATGTTTTCGGGTTGTCCGTCCGTACGTACGTCTGTATGTACGTACGTTCCGTTCTCGTGATCGCGTTATCTGAAGAACCGATCAATGGATTCCTGCCAAACTTTGGTCATGTATGTATCTTGCAGAGCCGGTGAACTGATTAGATTTTTGGGTCACGAGATCAAAAGTCAATGGTCACAGGGCTCATTATGTATGCAAAAAACAGCTTGTGATCGCGTTATCTGAAGAACCGATTGATGGATTCCTGCCAAACTTTGGTCATGTATGCATTCTCATTAGAACTGACAGATGGATTACTATTTAACTCAGGACATCTTGCAGAGCCAATGAACGGAGTAGATTTTAGGGTCATGAGGTCAAAGATCAAAGGGTCATATATGTATATGAGAAATTGCTTGTAATCACGATATTCTGAGAACCTGTTAATGGATTACAATTGAACTTGAATTTGAAAAATTTCTTCTGTTTCGGTTTGTAAAATTGCTCTATGACGGAAGCATCATTTTCGACTGCGTGCAGTCAAATTCCATCTAGTTTTTGTAATCCTCTTGCTTTTTCCAATCCTTTAAAATGAAATTCTAGAGGTAGTAGAATGCTGGAAATCTTAAGAAATGTTTCAACACATTAAGTAGATTACCTGATTTCTATTTCTGGCAGTAGCCCGGGTCCACTGGACTCTTTGTCGTTATTGCTTCTCTTGCCTTAACCAATCCATGAAACTCTAGATCTAGTAGGATACTGGAAATCTTAAGAAATGTTTTAACATGTTAACTAGATTACGATAATACCTGATTTCTATTTCTGGCACTAGCCCCGGGGTCAAGTGGACTCTTTGTTGGGTCAGCACGGATATTCGTCCTTCCTTAGAGATGTTGAGCCAGAAGTTCATAGTCACATCTGCATTAAGCTTGTTGGCAATCACTTCAATCATAGATGAAGTTGAATTCATCATTATTCCTTCATCTTCAAAACAGGCATCGTCTAGAAAAGAAGATTAATGAAACATTGTAGGTATGTTAGCCATTGCACAAATACTTACTGAAAAAAAATGTTGTTTTTTGTGGGGTACTGTGGCTTTTACAACCTTTTCTGTCGGCATTTCATTGTTACCTTTAAGTGATTTTTTTGTAAAATGCTATGTTAGATATAACATGAAGTGTGAGCCATTTACATTCTTAGTGTAAAGAGAATTTTCTTTTAACTTTAGCTTTATGCTATAAAGGCTGACTACATGTACCGTTGGTTGGGTTTTTGAAAAGATGCGTGATTGGCCAGATATCCCAATTTAACCCTTTTTTTATTTTTTAAATTCAATTTAGTGGTACATATACATGTGCAAAAGCAGTCTTAAAGGCATTAATAACAATTTTTTTCTTCAGTTTTACAAATTTGAGATGCATGGCCCTACATGTCTGTGATATGGTGTATTATTAACCATATCAGACATCTGAGCAGGGCAATTTTTGAATGTTATTGCCCTCAAGGTTTGATGGATAAGCCAACAAAATTACAATATTTTAGCCCGCTCAGAAAAGTCAATGGGATTTTGTGTGTAATTTGCCGGTCAATATGGTTATACAGTAAACCAATGAACAAATATTTTAGCCCGCTCTGAAAAGTCAATGGCAAAATGCGTGTTAAACTAGTGAGCAATAATATAGAGCCAGTTGTAATTTACATCGCGCATCAGCTACTGCAATTTACATCGCGCATCGTGTTTAAGAAAATGCGCATTTTGCGCGAACTCTATTGTGACGTAACAATCACACCCTAGGCAAACTGTTTGCAGTGTATCAAAAATTTGTCTAACACTGGATGAACAGTGCTGGTTTGACAATGTTTTTGCAACTTCTAATGCTAGGAAACCCTGTGTAGCCTACATCATTTAAGAGTATTAGATAGTAAGAGTTTTTTGTTTGCTCTAGATGTCTGATGTGGTTAATAATAGTAATAGTGACTGCCTAATTCAGGGCAATACGACTTGTCATATATCACCCTCACCTTCGGTTCGGGCGATATATGTCGTATTGCCCAGAAGGCAGTCAATATTACTTCAATATTGAAGCCCTACAAAAAATTGCGCTTCAAAATGATCATGAAGTGCCTCAAAAAGTAAAAATCTTTGAGTGACCAGTTTAACAATACTCTAATTTTCCCCAGTAGACTGTAATTTCGAATTCTAATCATGAATATCTTAATAAGATTAGTCAGGCAATCGGCTTGTAAAAGTCATGGGATTCCTGACTGACCTAAAGGTTTATAATTATGATTGCAGCATGAGCTAAATCCAGGATTTTGTTTAGAATCTGGGCAAAGATACCCACTCCCTTTAACATTATGTATAAATACCTGTATTTTGTATTGCTTCATCGAGAGAGGAGTACATGATGTCAGGACTAACTACTACACAGTACCACATAAAGGTCAGGTTACTGGATGACCCAAGGGGCACATCAGGGTCATATGAGGTCGAGCCATCCACTGTCAAGTTTGAAGATACACCTAAGGATCATGTTAAAAAAAGAACAGTTAGTCATATTACATGTAAAAAAAAAGGAGGAAACAAAAGTTGAGATAATAAATACAAAGCAAAAACTCATCAACCTGAAGTTTGGATGTCAAATAGATTTATTCATGAGTATGTTTTATGGCAGTATTACAAATTATGTTTCCAAGCATTGATCTGAAAACTTTCAATATTTGTTTATATAAAATAAATGATGAGTTTCATACATAAACAAAACGATGGAGAAGTACCATAGCGCTTAGAGACTTTGGTGGTAAGCGCTTTATAAGCACCGTTCTCCTTCTTCTTCTTCTTCTAATTATCATTATTACCATGTGACCGTGAGGCTCCGCCCTTGATAACAGCTACCAATGGAGACGGTTGTATCTCCAAACGGGTGAAGATCTGTTCTTCACCCGTCACTTCACCAGATGATTTTAGATGAGTTTGAGCTTTCACATTCAGGCTATAAACACCACAGGGTACGGTTCCACTTGGAATGGTCACTTGGCTTGTCTGGTGAGAGAGCATATTAAAGGGAGTGTAGCATGACGAGACTACGTGTCTTTCCTGTGGTCTGACTCGAAACCGAGGCATGAGGAGAACTTTGGTCTGTTTTGCCAACGCTAGCACGCGCTGACCAAGTAGAGATTAAGTCGTTGACTACCGTTATACAAGTCCATTCGTTTATGTGCAGTTGTCCAAAAGAAGACGTAGATGGCGTTAACCAGTATTTGCCAAGCTACACCCCCTTTAAGACATTACAAATCATGCACTAAAATGGTTTCCACTACAAGTTCAGGGCACAATGCATGCATCAATCTGATCATAGGAAAAACATGCTTGTGAGTCAGATACAATACACACCATAAAATTATTTTACAGTTCCACTTCAGTTATTCTTCTACCAGTAATACAAGCCGATTTGACTTATTTTACATTTAAAGATATTGCTTGTAAGTGTCGGCTTGCATGGTGATGTAGATATACAGTAGGCTTGCGGGTGCACCATGTGAGAGAGAGAGGATTGAGGAGTCCTGAAAATCAACCACCGCCACCCGCCGAACCCTCAAAGCAGCCGCCAGCCTCACAGCTACAATGCACAGCAGACGACAGCAGACTACAACGCCGCCTACGTCGGGGACACACACAGCGTCTTGCCGAACAACACACCCCACTCATGGATTCAAAATTCTCCTAAGTCCGCAACCCAGAGACTCCAGCCCAGACAGACAGTCAGACGGACAAGCAAACCATTCATGTCCACTCCCCGATGACTCAAGCCCACACAGTCATGTATTTTCCCCCGACGTCCGCACCCCGGTGACTTAAGCTCACGCACGCCAGCTATTCTCCACTCCTGACGACGGATAGTCAACATGTTCGAAACGTTGAGCCACTCCTGCCACTCATCCTCTCCAAGCGCTATAGTTCTCTTTAGAACTATTAAGCTAAGAATGATAACCAACAGTCTTTTTCAAGACTACACACCCTCAAGAAAGATTACAGAGAGTCCTTTTCAGGACTCCTCAATCCTCTCTCTCTCTCTCACACATGATGCACCCGCAAGCCTACTGTATATTTAACGATATGTCTTTACATCGAACTGGACTTGGCTATTGAGTTCAAGAACATCTTGCATTAAAACCAATAGACACACAAGTAAAAAAAATCAAGATTGTTTCAATATTTCTTTAAAAATCAATGCATCAGACATTCAGTACAGAGTGAATACTAAGGTACATGTATTTTGCCTGAAAATAGGTTTAGAGCAAGGATAACAACTGAACAGTTCATGCAACAAATTATCTGAGAGAAGAGATACAATGTAAATGTACTTAAAATTATAACAAATGATGATGCATTTCTACAATATTGATGAAATCATCAAATAATAATCATGGGTGGTATTCTCGAAAACGGACTAACTTCAGTCCATGGTTTAATCCACTAAGTATGGAGTGCCGAGTGTCCATATAAATATGTTTTTGAATAATGTCATCTGTCACTAAATTAAAATAAAATGTAATGACATAATTAATAAACAACAATACAACTATGATATAATTATGTCATCATGGTAATTTAGGGACATATCAAATTATTCAAAAATATATTCATATACATGTAGGCACTTGGCATTCCATACTTAGTCAATGAATTAAACCATGGACTAAAGTTAGTCCGCTTTCGAGAATACCACCCAATAAGCGCCGCCTATGTCTCGCTTTTTTGTTTTTTTGCTACACAGGCGAGACAAAAAAGATGATTCATTTCTACAATATTGATGAAATCATCAAATAATAATCATATATTTACATGTGTGATCTTTTCAAAGGCAGTCACTACATCATCGTCTACAGTAGATGTGAAAATCCACCACTCAAAGTGAGAGGTCATGGGGTCAATGCACTTTTCATTCAGCTCCATATGGGCCGAGATGTGAATGTTGAAGGTCCCGAGGTGTACGGCGGGACGGGGAGCATCACAATGCTCCTTCACAGACGTGGTGAGGCTGATGATGCATGAATGCTTGACAGTCACGTTCACCTGCACGATTCAGATCATAATCATAGGCATGGAGCCAGAACAAGTAGGCATTTATTGACCCGAATTCACAAAGAAGGTACATATAGCTCCGTTTAGTCTCATTTCACAATGCCCCCTATCGTCAGAGTCAGCAGCCATACATGTTAGCCTATGAAATTGTACCAAAAAATAATCGTTTAAAATTCATTTTTTGTTTAAACGAAAAGCACATCCACCCCAACTTTCATTATCACTAGCTCTTTCATTGGAACCCTCATGTCCCATTGACTTTTGAAAGTTCACCCACCGTAATTTGATCAAAATAGGTTGCAAGCTCGTCATTGCCTATAGTACACATGTGAAACAAGTCGAACTTTGGACTCTGTTTGCCAAGCAATTTTAAGATTATAGGTCAAGCACACAAAGGATAAGAAGCATGAATGGATCACTTCTGCTTGGTTTATTATGTCCATTTCATCCAACCCCCCACCGTCATTTTTCCATTTTGTTAAAGCAAACATTTTGCTGAGTTTAGCAAAAACATGAATATTCATGAACGGTCAGACAATACACCCTTTTAGTACGTAACGTATAGTGAATGGGAATGGGCGATGATCCGTCCAGGAGGTAGAGGTCAGTGGTTTGTGCTGGCAATGTTCACGCGAGCGAAAATGAGACAATCGGAGCAATATGTTAATTTAACCCACAGTTTAAATCTTCATTTACATAACCGATAAGCACGACACAGTCAGAGGTCCATATGACGCGCGCAAGACAAGGTACGCTTAATTTGCGCTAATTTTAAACCTGGGTTATGTAAACGAGGGTTTAAACCATGGGTTTAATCTAAACCTCCTTTGTGAATTCGGGCCATTTGGATCCATTCCTAATTAAAGTGAAGATTTACGACAGCAATGACTAATTCTTCGTCACCAATGAAGGTGATGGGTGCAAATTCTTGTTTACTCTACAATTTATTTGATGGAGCACCAGTATTGACAATAACAGTCGATAGCATGCCATTGCAGAACTGAATAATTATCAGAAACAATAAAAGTTGAAAACTGAGCAACTCTTTTAGTCCTCAGACAAAACATTTTGAAGGCTGCCATTTAGTGAAATACCTTTCAAGCTCTTTAAAAAAAAGTATAAAAAATAGTGAGCAGGGGGGTGTTTCACAAAGATTTTAAGTAGAACTTAACTTTAAGTTTGACTTAAAAATTATGGAGAGCCAATTGTAGCCTTAAATATATTCAAAAGCAAAAATTCAAGTATTTTAGACTTTTGATAAATTCTACATCAAGAACATGAAATATCCCATGATAATAGAAAATATGAATGATTTGAATCAACATTTTATGCCTTTTAAAATAAGTTATACAAAATATTTTCATAGATGATAATGGCTTTCCATAATTTTTAAGTCCAACTTAGAGATAAGTTCAACTTAGGATCTTTGTGAAACACCCCCTACTGTATAAGGTTAAACAAAAAAAATGACAAAAATCAGTAAAACTTATAAGACGTGCGTTGAACAAGATGTCTGCAATTGCTTACATACCTGCGTAGTCAAAGTATGAAATAGCGTAGAGGTCATTTCGTAAGTGCCAATGATTGAATATGCATGATTGAGAAAGCTAGCAAGGTAGCCATCCATTGAAGAGGCCCTGCCTATCATAGCATCAGGGAGGTCATCCAAAGACCAAGGTCTTGGATTGGCTATGAAGCAGGAGTCCAGGGAACTAGTAAAACAGAAGGTATAGTTTGAATGCTTGACAGCACTGTCGGCCAGGAGGGCGCACCATACTTCTCTGCTCGTATAGACATGATTTGGGCAGAGGATACGGGTCGTGGCTGGAAGAACTGTTGCATTCGCAGTAGCTGTAAGGTTGTAAGAGTTCCCGACAGCCGTCGCTTCAACGGTGAAGACTGAACCTGTGGTGAACCGGACGAGCACCGCATCTTCAGAGTAGACTGTGTATTGAACTGAGTCACCTGATAGATGGTTTGTGATGGACCACAAGATTTGAGATGACAGTGGTTGAAAGGACCCCGACACAGTTGCATTCACAAGGATGGTGTCATTAACCCTGAAGATGTTGTCAATACTGGACACTATCAATATGAACAGATTAAGATAGGGACATATTAAAAAGTGATATACCAGAAAACATTAACAACAACAAAAAAATAAAAAATAAAAAATAAAAAAATTCCTTTTGAAATTATGGCACATGATGCATTCACCTGTGAGTCAGTATTTATTCATTTATTGCAACCAAAAGGTTAGATTTCAAATACTAATTAAACATGCAAAGCAATACATATATCAATCAGACAATGGTAGAAATAATTTCAGCAATTAATTTATATAGAGTAAACAAAATGAGTGGTTCATAAATAAATCAATAAGTACACTGTATGTGATGGCTACAGTCAAATTATCGCACTGTATTAAATGAATTTCATTTCTATATTATTTCTGTTTTCATTGAATCTTCTTACCCGGGTATTTCTATTTGTAGGATATTATTTGATATCACTTACCTGAAATCATTAATAATGTACAGTAGTTATACTGTGTTTTTTCTTACCATTATTTGGAATCAGAAGAAGCTCTATGAGTATCACAGCTTCATTAGTGCTTGCTGTGGCAGGAATTGTGGTGGCAATGCTTGTTGCTGCTGTGGCAGGAATTGTGGTGGCAATGCTTGTTGCTGCTGTGGCAGGAATTGTGGTGGCAATGCTTGTTGCTGCTGTGGCAGGAATTGTGGTGGCAATACTTGTTGCTGCTGTGGCAGGAATTGTGGTGGCAATGCTTGTTGCTGCTGTGGCAGGAATTGTGGTGGCAATGCTTGTTGCTGCTGTGGCAGGAATTGTGGTGGCAATGCTTGTTGCTGCTGTGGCAGGAATTGTGGTGGCAATGCTTGTTGCTGCTGTGGCAGGAATTGTGGTGGCAATGCTTGTTGCTACTGTTGTGAGATTGATGATAATGGTTGCAGGAAAAGTATTTGTAGCAGGAATAGTAGTGGTGATAAGTTCATGAACTTTTTCGCACACAAACCTAAAATCATGGCTACATTCCTTAAAAAACCAGTATCCGTTATGATGTTTCATATAAACGCAATCACGATTTGCAGTCTGCCAGTTTTGTTCTGTAATAGAGAGAGTAAGAGAGGGAGAGAGAGAGAGAGAGAGAGAGAGTAAGAGAGAGAGAGAGAGCAATATAGAGAGAGAGAGAAAGAGAGAGAAAGAGAGAGAGAGAGTGAGAGAGAGAGAGAGAGAGAAAGAGAAAGAAAGAGAGAGTAAGAGAGAGACAGAGAGAGAGAGAGAGTAAGAGAGAGAGAGAAAGAGAGAGAGAAAAAAAAGAGAGTAAGAGAGAGAGAGTAAGAGAGAGAAAGAGTAAGAGAGAGAGAGACAGAGAGTGAGAGAGAGAGAGAGTAAGAGAGAGAGAGAGATATTATTATCTGAACAAACAGAATAACAAAAAAGGTTTTTAAAATGAAGTATATACTTAATAGAGAATTGGCAAAAAAAATATTGCATTGTAGCCCCGAGGCTGAATTATACTATATTGTTAGAATGACATACTACACAAATATTGAATGTTCAGGGCCCCCGTCTCATAAAGATATGCGATTGATCTCAATCGGTCAAATCAGGCGATTTGATATCAATCGCAAAATAGTTGCAATCAATATCAACTCTTTATAAGATAGGGCAGTGGTGTTCTAGATAAGGAAAGACATGAGGGTATATAGTTCATGTGTGAAGGAGGGGAGAGATTAATGGGAATGGAGAGGGACACAGAAAAGGCAATTTATGCAAAGAGAATTTATTTTTAAAATGGGATTAAAGGATTGAAACAAAAAGAGAGCTAGAATTTGGTAGACATATAAACAACAATAACAAACTCAAACTGGCAGGGAATGTTGTGAGGTCAGGGGCGTCGCCAAAGGGGGGGGGGGGGGTGTGGGGGGTGCGACACCCCTCCACATGTAGGGATATTGTCGGTAAAATTGCGCTGCCGTCGGGAAAAAAGAGAAAAGGGGGAGGGAAAAAAAGAGAGGGAGAGGGAAAGAAAAGAAAAAAGAAAAGGAAAAGAAAAAAAAGTAAGGAAAGAAAGGAAAGGAAAAAAAAAAAGGAAAAAAAAGGAAAGAAAAGAGAAAGAAGAAATAGAGGGAGGAGAGGAAAGAAAGGAAACGAAAGAAAAGGGAAAAAAAGAGAAAAAAAAAAGAGTAAAAGGGAAACAAAAGAAACGGGGGTGAAAGAGAGGAGAGAGAGGAGAGGTAAGAGCCTGAGAGAGAAGGAGTGGGAGTAAAAGAGAAAAGGGGGTTGTTGGGTGGAGACCTCTCGTCAAGGGAGCAAGAAAGTCACAGGTTAATATGTTGCTATGTCGGGTCAGCTGTGTCGGTATTCTTGCTCGATCCTCGTGTACTATATCAATGCAGAAGTTTGAAGACGGTGAGATGTATATTGTCGGTCGGCCGACAAGTTTTTTTTCCCTACGAACTGTGACTTTTTATCCGCTGTGACGACTTCAAGAGTGACTACAACTACCATACTTGTATTTTTTCGAAGTTTCACTTTCTTATAATATCAGCTAAAGAAATCAGAGGTTTAAAATTTTTGGGGAAACTAAATTCAAACAAGGTTTAAGAGTCGACAAATGTACGACGAATCGTCTTCCTTTCTCTATATTGTGATGAAACGCCCCCAAAAAATCCACGCTTCGTGTGAAAGGGGAAAATTGAATTCAGACAATTAGGGCTTATTAAGAGTCGAAAACGGTACAGCGAATCATCTTCTATCTCTAATAATTTAATGAAAAGTCAAAATTTCCACGCTTCGCGTGGGAGGGGGAAGCTTTATTCAGACAAGGATTAAGAGTCAAGCACGGTTCAACGAATCGTCTACTTTCTCTAATAATTTAATGACATGCCAAACCGTCCGCGCTTCGCAAGGAAGGGGAACAACTGAATTCAGATAAGGATTAAGAGTCGAAAACAGTACACCACATAGGGCTTATTAAGACAGAGTCAAAAACGGTGCAAACGAATCGTCTTCTTTCTCTAATAATTTAATGAAACTTCAAAGCTTCGAGCAAGAGGGGGAAACTGAATTCAGACAATTAGGGATTATTAAGAGTCGAAAACGGTACAACGAATCGTCTTCTTTCTCTTATAATTTAATGAAACGTCAAAGCTTCCACGCTTCGCGCTAAAGGGGGAAACTGAATTCAGACAATTAGGGCTTATTAAGAGTAGAAAACGGTACAACGAATCGTCTTCTTTCTCTAATTTTTAATGAAACATCAAAACTTGGGAGGGGGAAGCTTTATTTAGACAAGGATTAAGAGTCGAGCACGGTTTAACAAATCGTCTACTTTCTCTAATAATTTAAGGAAACATCAAAACTTCTGCGCTTCGCGCGGAAGGGGGACAACTGAATTCAGATAAGGATTAAGAGTCGAAAACAGTACACCAAATAGGGCTTATTAAGAGTCGAAAACGGTACAAACGAATTGTCTCTAATAATTTAATGAAACGTCAAAGCTTCCGTGCTTCGCGCGAGAGGGGGAAACTGAATTCAGATGAATAGGGAGTAATAAGAGTCGAAAAAGGTACGACAAATCGTCTTCCTTTCTCTATATTGTGATGAAATGCCAAGAATTCCGCGCTTTGCGCGAAGGGAGCTAAAAATTCATTTAGACGAGTCGAGAACGGTACAACAAATAGTCTTCTTTCACTAAATTTAATGAAACGTCAAAATTTCTGCGCTTTGCGCGGAGGGGAAAGCTTTATTCAGACAAGGATTAAGAGTCAAGCAAGGTTCAACGGATCGTCTACTTTCTCTAATAATTTAATGAAACGCCAAAACTTCCGCGGGAGGGGGAGAAACTGAATTCAGACAAAGATTAACAGTAGAGAACGGTACAGCAATTCGTCTTCTTTTCATAATAATTTAATGAAACGTCATAGCTTTCGCGCTTCGCGCTGGAGGACTTCATTTAGACAAGGATTAACAGTCGGGAAAGGTACAATAAATCACCTTTTTTTCCTAATAATTTAGAGGCCTATCACCCACACCCCCTAATGAGCGCTCTTTAAGTGATTCGCTTGCTCACTACCGCCCTCCCTAAAATAAGATCATAGCTCCGCGCCTGCATTAAAATATATCAGCTATGATGCTGACTAAGTTGACGAAATAATTTGTATATGTCGTCGAGGAAAATGACCATTTGCGCATATGCAAGTACTATAGAAAGTTCATAGAAAAAACAATTTAGCCTTCGGCCCCGGTTTACAGGGTTAAATTTGTAGATATTGGACATTTAATTTTGTCGGTAATTGGTCGCTAGTTTTGTCGGTAATCTTTGGCCTCTACACCCCCCCCCCCCCCCCCCCCACGACGCCCCTGTGTGAGGTTAAATACAAAGCACTCATAATAAATTTTACAAGCTATCGGTTGCATTTGGTGCTACATATTTGTTATTTTAGAAATGATTGAAGACCAAGATTTCAGTGAATCACCAGGCCCATAAAACAGCCAATTATTATTGCTCAAATTGCATTATGATCAGTAATTTTGGCACAAATTGCACTTAAAAGGACAGTATTCCATTTTAACTGATAGTTGTTGTGTTTTTTTTTTTGGGGGGGGGGGAGGGGTCAACAAGATTGAACAAGATCAGTTATATATGATAAGACACCTATCAATTATTGAACAAACTTTTTCATCATATTTCTTCATTTACAGTAGGCTTGCGGGTGCACCATGTGACAGAGAGGGAGGATTGAGGAGTCCTGAAAAAGAACTCTCTGTAATCTTTCTTCATGTTTTAGCAATCGCTACATTTACATGTATATATATATAATTACCATCCCAATTTGTGTAGCCAACTGGAGATCCATCGGTAAATGTAGTTAACACTCCTTCAGTATCCTGATCATGTAGTCCCATCCATACAAAATTTAAAATTATACCTGTAATAGAACACACACACACAATCTAAATTATCCTTTTGTTAACATGAAAGGTCAAATTTATCACATCCAAATTGCTTGAGGAACATTTTATTAATTCAAGTTCACAGGAGCGCAAGTTTTGGTGGTCACGTTTTTTGTTCTTTTAAACACAAAACAGGAAATCCCTCGGTGACTCAAATGGCAAGGGCTGCAATGAAAGCCAATGATATGAGAAAAGGCAAAATGTATTAATAATACTTGAAACGAATCTAATTTTTGATATTGTAAATTATAACATAACAAAATATCTGTGTAAAAATACAAAAAAATGAAGTAAAATTAAATCTCAAAAAAAAAAAAAAAATATGATATTGAATTAGTCAACATGTAATATTAAGTCAAAGGTGAACTCTCTTAGAAAGTCAGGGTGGCATATTACATTATTGTTTATCTCTCTTTGACTTCTTGAAATCAAAGGCAAATTAAACCAAAGACTCTACACTTTCTTCTGAAATGGACTTTTCAGACATGCAAAACAGTATCAAATTCCAGATTTTTTATTGTTTGAATTGCAAGAGATTAAATTTCAGTTGCAATGGTCATTTGAAAACATTTGCTGAGCCAAGAAAAAGCAATATCACCTCTATATCCAAAAAGGTCTTCCACAATGCTATAAATACTTTGTTTGCAACTTGGTTTACTTCAGCAAAATCTGGACTGTCTTTAAGCTTACGTGTAACACACTTCCATATATCAAGAGTTTAATTCCACAATGAGCTAAATCCACTTTTGATGAAAATTGATTTAATGATATCAGGACATTGTTTACTTCAGAGCCCGTCTTAGTTCAACATAATTATTATTCTAAATTTTGCGAACAATAATGAAAACTAGATTTGTAATACTTGTTTGGAACAAGTATAGGTGGGCTAATCCAAAAAAAAATTGAGACAAAATGAAGGGTACATTTGAGATAGCGTTTTGTCTCAGCTACAACATACTCGAAGTTCAGCGTAAATGAGGCTAAAACGACGTAGATATTGCTCGCGAAAGACGGGAATGTAGAATCAAGTTTTGAGAAAAAGTCATGTCCCATAGAGAATACACGCAAAATGTGCAAAATTGACATGCCTCCTTTAATCGCAAAAAATACGCCATGATGCCCTTGTCATAATGAAAAATCGTGACGACTAGATTTGTAGAGAATTGTCTCAGCTAGAACATATCAAAATTTTTAAGAAAATTGATCAATTTTTTACAAAGATACAATCAATTTTCCAAAAATATGCTGACGTCATAATATGCAAATTGAAATTTTGAGTTCGGAGGCCATTATGATGACGTCATGAGTTAATTGAGGGTCAAATGAGACATGAAATTATATCTCCGATTCATACTCAATCAAAATATGAAAAAAATTGGGGTCACCTTGCATCCTAAAGAGCTACAATAGATTTTGCATAGGCATGTTTTTGCCCATATATGCTATGTATTACAAGAGCTCGCGCGCACGGAAATTTATGTTTAACTGTCGATCATTCCGTCATTAATAGTCATAAAGAGATAAACATGTTATCAATTTGTTTGTAAAAATATGTGGAATATTATGAAAGAAAAAAAATGGCGATTCTATGTTGTGCAATAGTCTGACGCGCGAAAACGCGCACGCATGCGCGTATGCGCGTGTGCGCGATTTTTTATAAAATGCTTAGAATGGCCTAAAACGTGTGCAAAATGATTTTGAGACGATTTTGAGCATTTCAACATTTTACGCGCGCATTGACGCGCGGACGTACGCACACGCGCGCGTTATTTGACCTGCAATTGACCGGACGGATATTGACCTTGATCATGATAAATATGATAGAGAAATACCTTTTGGTTATGAAGATATGATCATGAATTGATTTTCGTAAAATTTTACAAAATGGCGCCTAAATGACGTCATCAGTCAAGGTCAAGGTTGAAAAAATTTCTGTGCTTTGTACATATGCCTATACATTTGTGTGCCAAATTTCAAGGCATTTGATTGAGTAATTTCTAAGTTATCTTGCCAACAAAAAAGTGGTTAGAAATAAGAAAAATATTTAATAATAATAAATAAAGGCAATTCTAACGAAATTATAAGGTGGTCTGTACGTTATACAGCCCACCTGAAAATGCACCTTAAATATCAATTTTCCTTAGACGCATGTACAAAATCTGGTAAACAAATTATATTTTCTCTGAAGTTACAATTGAACTCTTCATAATGGAATAGAACTAGAAGGTGACATACCCATTGCAATGCAAACGATGGGCCAGGGGGCATTTCACAAAGCCTTTTTTCAATGACAAATAACAAAAATCAGTGACAAATCTGCTGATAACCAATCAGAAGCAAGGATTTCAGTAGCTTATAACACAAATTGTCATTTGTCACTGATGACAAGTTTTGTGAAACGCCCCCCCAGATTCTTACTATGTATAAAAGCATTCTCCTCTGCACTGTGGATGCTGAGTAGCTCAGCGCCTACTCCTAAGCAGTAGTCTCTGGCTTCCTGCCACGGCAAATACCTTTTTGCTGCTAAGTAACAGTATCCACTGGCAGGTTCATGGACCCATTCTATAGGACATCCATACTCTGATACGCATGGCATAACAAGAATTTAAACAAAGAAAAGACAATTAGCAAATTTATCTTCTACTTTCTAGCACCAACTTTTACTTGTAAATCTAGAAATCTATAGTAGATCTAGGGAGTCTATAGATCTAGATCTAGGTGTAGGTATAGTCTAGAGTAGAGGAATAAGTTTTAAACAATTGCTCCACTGAAATTTAAAAAATTAAACCATGATCATGTATTTGAGGCCCCCAACATAGATCTAAAGTTAGCCCCAACTTCAAATAATCTTTTCAGAAATACCTTAAAAGATAGATCTAAGCCTAAAAAGTTAGACCTAGATCTAGGCCTATTTCAAAATGGTTTTCGGTTCCAGGCATAGGGTCTATGGTCTAGATCTAGTGATTTGTTGTCCACATGGAAAATGAAAGTTGGATCAAATTAAGAATTTGGTGATTTTCCTCTTTCCCACACGGAATTGCCCACAACGTCTAGTTTTAAAGCACACATCATCATGTTTACTTCTAGACCGAATTTTCCGTCTCTTTCGTTCGTTAGCCTCTTATTGGGGTAGGGTCGGCTCTCTCTTTAGAGACGGAAGCCGTTTATACACATGTCCTTGCTAACGCCACGGCCAGTCCTGGTCGTAGCGTTTTGCCCCCAAAATCCCCCAAAATGTCATTTTACCTCGAGCATGTTATATTGTAAATTAGGCCTAGATCTAGGCTATAATAAATCAGTTCCACTTACCAACTTGACTGAAATAATCAGTTTAATAGTCCCTTTTTAGGAAATTATGGGTCAAAATCGAAATCCATTTTGAAAATCTTTTTCAACATGGATTCCGATTTTGACCCATTATTTCCTAAAAGGGACTATTAAACTGATTATTTCAGTCAAGTTGGTAAGTGGAACTGATTTATTATAGCCTAGGCCTAATTTACAATATAACAAACATGCTCGAGGTAAAATGACATTTTGGGGATTTTGGGGGCAAAACGCTACGACCAGGACTGGCCGTGGCGTTAGCAAGGACATGTGTATAAACGGCTTCCGTCTCTAAAGAGAGAGCCGACCCTACCCCAATAAGAGGCTAACGAACGAAAGAGACGGAAAATTCGGTCTAGTTTACTTCATGATCATGTTTACTTCAGCAAATCTGGACTGGCGTAAATATTCATCATTGAATTTGAATGACACACGCCCTTAAAACTAAAACAACAACAACAACAACATCATGACATGGTGACATGCCGACACACTCAGTCTGCAACAATCTTCAACTGTGAAGGAGGTAGACTTGACCCAAATGCCAAAGAAGAAGAAGAAGAAGAAGTAAGAAGAGATTTGAATGTTACCTTCTAGTCTGGCTGTCCTGAATTTGAGGATTGCGATGAAAAGAAATAAGATGTAAACGGTACTAATGGCAGGCATAGCTAGCAAAACGTTCAGTTCGGTCCAGCTATACTGAGCTAGCTAGCTTCAAACGTTAGTGAGCCAGGCCCTAGCTGGCCTAGAGTCTAGGCTTAGCCTATAGTACGTAGGACCGTCCAATGACCGATGCAGGGCAGATTCAGAGAACATAGAATGAGTCTGCATCTGAGACAAAACAACTTTAACAAGCCTGCCACTTTTTTGTACGGATCCATTAGAAATAGAAGCTAAAATAGGCTAGGGCCTAACTTAGAGGCTTTATGAAACATGCACCCCATTTATGAATGTTTAGATTAGTAAAAGAATGCACGCGTATCATATCAGCGCATGCGCATGATCGCCTAATATGTAACTACGATAATTTATTTATCATGTTATGTTGCGCGTACGTTAGCGATCGACGCAAGTAATTCAGACATTCAGCCAATCAGAGAGGATTCTTCTGACGCGACTGTGTTTTAATACGCGCTTTAACTTGTATTATCGATCACAAGAAATGTACTATGGCACCCCCATAAGAGGCCATAGACAAGCGCGTAGCCAGGATTTCATTTGAGGGGGGGCGGTAGTGAGCACGCGAAGCGTGCGAATCACTTAAAGAGCGCGCGAAGCGCGCTCCCTAGGGGGGTGGGTGCAGGGAGGGGGGAGATTCCCCCCTCCCGCGCGAAGCGCGGAAGCTTTGAAAGAAGACGATTCGTTGTACCTTTCTCGACTCATAATCCTTGTCTGAATTCAGTCCCTCCCCTCTCTCGCGCGAAGCTTTGACGTTTCATTAAATTATTAGAGAAAGAAGACGATTCGTTGTACCTTTCTCGACTCTTAATCCTTGTCTGAATTCTTCCCCCCCCCCCTCTCGCGCGAAGCTTTGACGTTTCATTAAATTATTAGAGAAAGAAGACGATTCGTTGTACCTTTCCCGACTCATATTTCTTAATTTGAACTCAGTTTCCCCCTTCCCGCGCGAAGCGCGGAAGCTTTGACGATTCATTGTACCGTTCTCGACTCCTTTTCCCTTTTTCTTCCTACGTCCTCTTTCTTTTTTTTCTTCTCTTTCTCTCTCTTTTTTTTTTTTTGGCCGGCGTTTTGGGGGGGGGCGACCGCCCCCACCGCCCCCCCCCCCTGGCTACGCGCCTGGCCATAGAGATTTAAGGGAAACCCTCCAAAAGCAAAAGAAATAAAATATAGATTATTGGAAAATAGAAATGAAGAAAACTTTCATTGGAAAGAGACACACTTTCAATTCATTTAAGGAAATGTTAAACTTTGGAAAGTTTAGAATAAATGATTTCTGTTTTTTAATTTTCTCAATATACAACTTCCAGACTTTCCTTTCTTCTGTACCTTTGCTTTAATTTTTTCCCTTCTTTTTTCTCTTCTTTTCTTTTGTTTGTATGTTCGTTCTATGTTGGTGTGTGTTTTGTATACTGTTGTATTCGTTATGTGTTTAAATGTTGTGTGGGGCGGGGGTAGTAGGTGTTTTCTAACTCTTTCTCTTTTTATATATATATACATTTTTTTTTATCTAAAGGAAATTTAAGAGGAAAACAAAATATTGTGGAAAAGAAATAATTTGAGATTTATAATCAAACTGGTCGAGAAAATAATATAAACTTTATTTGCGATTTTTTTTATTGATGTTGAAAATATAATTTTGTTTATGTGAATATTTTTCATCTGTAAATGTGTAACTTTAGTTGGAACCTTGTATGTAAATGTAATAGTTCATTTGCAAATTTATTAAGACCTATGTTAAAATTATTTTGTTAGATTGTATACAATGTTATAAATTATGTACATTTTTTCTTTATGAGAGAAAGGAATAAAAACCTATGAAAAAAAATGGGAAAATAGGCGCCGTAAGTGGAGGGAAGGGGGGGGGGGGGACAAACAATCTGTTCAGGAGCGAGAAACTCCCCTTTTCACCTCTGATATTTTTGCCCCCTTTTACTTCGACTCGTGCCCCTTTTTTCGTTTTTAATAAAGTCACCTTTTCCTTAAGATAAATGCCCTTTTCCATTTGTTCTAAGAACCGCTTCCATTTCTCTTAAATGCCACTTTTCCCCCTCAAATAAACGCCCCTTTTATTTTGACACGTGCCCCTTCGTAAGAGGACATATTATTTTTTTCTTTGGGTCCCGAAATTTGAAAATTTGACCGATCGACATTCCGTTTCGTTGGGGGGGGGGGGGGGGGGAGAGGGGTAAGGTCATCTTTTTTAGGTCCGTGAGGATTTTAGAAAAAAAAACCTCATAAGGGGGGGGGGGGGGGAGGATACACATAAAACAACTGAAGGGGTTACACCCCCCCCCCCCTGCGTACGCGCATGTCCAGGATGATGTAATCATTATTAATGCTTTTTTAATTTATGTTGAGTTCTAATATCAATCACCAATCACAATTGCTATATATATAATGCGGAGGTATTGCATGAGCATGTGCTGAACTGGGGGAAGTTACGTACCACTGACTTTTGTTAGCTCACTAATTATCAAGGGTGTCGATTTGTATCCGTGTTTGGGGGGGATAATAGGTGCCAAAATATTTTCGGCAATGGATCAAAGCAACCAAGAGGGAGAAGCGTATGGCAGCTAGGTTACACCCCCTCTCCAAGCGCGTAGCCAGGATTCATTTAGGGGCGGTATACACGCGAAGCGCGCTCCCTAGGGGGTTGGGTGCAGGGAGGAGGAGTTCCCCCTAACTTTGACGTTTGATTAAATTATTAGAGAAAGAAGACGATTCGTTGGACCGTTCTCGAGTCTTAATCCTTGTTTGAATAAAGTCTCCCTTCCTCCGCGCGTAGCGCGGAAGCTCTGACGTTTCATTAGATAATTAAAGCTTATCTGCCGTAGTTTACAAGAGGGATTAGACCGCTCTGCAAGGTCACTGGACAGGTGGTTATCTCCAGGCGCGGATCCAGGATTTCTTAGGGGAGGGGGCCAACTTTTTTTTTTTTGCTCCCGAAAATTTGAAAATCGCGCCGGCCGAAAAGTCGCTCAGTGGGGGGGGGGGGGGGGGGGGGGGGGGGGGGGGGGGGGGGGGGGGGGGGGGGGGGGGGGGGGGGGGGGGGGGGGGGGGGGGGGGGGGGGGGTCCTCGAAAATTTTAAAATTTGGGGGGGGCCCCCCCCCCCCCCCCCCCCCCCCCCCCCCCCCCCCCCCCCCCTCTGGATCCGCCACTGGTTATCTCATCAACTCAGCTCTCAGTTAGCATAAGAAAAAGAGGATCATGGGGGACTAACGGTCAGGCATTGTTTGTTATATAGAGGGCGCAAGTAGCTACCAGTAGTGCAGTGGGCCTTTAAAGAAAGAAGACGATTTGATGTACCATTCTCGACTCTTAATCCTTGTCTGAATCAGTTCCCCCCCCCCCCCCCGCGCGAAGCGCGGAAGCTCTGACGTTTCATTAGATTATTAATAGGGGGGGTAAGCGGACACTTTTTTTTTTTGGGGGGGGGGGGTCCTCGAAAATTTTAAAATTTGCCCCCCCCCCCCCCTGGATCCGCCACTGGTTATCTCATCAACTCAGCTCTCAGTTAGCATAAGAAAAAGAGGATCATGGGGGACTAATGGTCAGGCATTGTTTGTTATATAGAGGGCGCAAGTAGCTACCAGTAGTGCAGTGGGCCTTTAAAGAAAGAAGACGATTTGATGTACCATTCTCGACTCTTAATCCTTGTCTGAATCAGTTCCCCCCCCCCCCCCCCGCGAAGCGCGGAAGCTCTGACGTTTCATTAGATTATTAAAGAAAGAAAACGATTCGTTGTACCATTCTCGACTCTAAATCCTTGTCTGAATTCAGTCTCTCTCCCCCCCCCCTTCTCGCGCGAAGCGCTGAAGCTTTGACATTTCAGTAAATTATTAGAGCAAGAAGACGATTCCTCGTACCGTTCTCAACTTTTAATCCTTGTCTGAATTCAGTTTCCCCGCTCCCGCGCGAAGCGCGGAAGCTTTGACGTTTCATTAGATTATTAAAGAAAGAAAGCGATTCGTTGTACCATTCTCGACCACTAATCCTTGTCTGAATTCAGTTCCACGCGCGCAAAGCGCGGAAGCTTTGACGTTTCATTAGATTATTAGAGAAAGAAAACGATTCGTTGTACGGCCATTCTCTAAATCCCGTTGTATGAATTCAGTTTCCCCGCTCCCGCGCGAAGCGCGGAAGCTTTCTCCTTGTCTCCGATCTCATCCCGAAATCGTCAAAGAGTTCATCTATGTTTACACTGTCCAGGATTGTCTGATGTGCATTGCAGATTGCTACTTTTGAGCTTCGCGCTTAACATTTAGCTCGTTGGTTTTTAACGCTGCGTCTTTGCATTTGGCGCACTGCATTTCTATGAGACTATGATGCTGTTGATTGAACAAATTGAATAAATTCATCAATTCCTGATGAAGCTGTATGAGCGAGAATTCAATTTATTCTTGTCTCATTATACGGTTGTCTCATTTACTTCGTATATTATGTATGTATTATGAAAATGAGATAGCAAAATGTGTATATTGATGGTCATCTTGCGAGTAATAACTTCCATTAACTACTCTCATCGGGTTCTCATCATTAACTTTTCTCTTCATTTTTTTTTTATGGTGAATTATTGGGGAAAAATTGTACAGGCCATCCCCCCCCCCCCCCCCCCGGGAACGACACCCATGCTAATGACTGACAGATGATGTCACAGGATGAATGCAGATCTGGAGCATTTTTTTTAAGGTACGTGTAGCTTAATTAGCAGGTCTGAGAAAATTATTTAAAAATCTATGAAACATATTAAGATGTTTAAATAACAAATATTGAGTTGTATGCAGCCCTAGCTGCACACCAACAGGAATTAATCAACTTATATTTGGATGTCACCCGACCCTTAACATGCTAAAAAATTACGTACTAATATTTATACATCTATCTGTTTGCTGATTCTAAATTCCGTAGAATTGCGTGTTCCTAAATGGGTGTATCATAATCTCAAATTAAAATTGAATTGAAATGTTTTCAGTGCTTGAAATTACAGTTCATAAGGTGTAGTTTGTTCTACTTATAATGTGCCAGGTTTTATTTTACATTGGAGACTCTACTAAAAAAAAAAAATAATTTGTCTTCATTTTCCGTTTTTTTTAAAGACATCATAGATTGAATTCTATTGTTATCCGAGCTAACTCTGATCTCTACGGATTTTTCCGTAGAGATCAGTGAGCTAACTTCGCCCGAATCTATAAGCTATATAGTTAGTAGTAGCCGCGCCATCCATCATATCTCAGCTCGTATCTCAGCTCGTTCAAATTGTATTTCTTGAGTCAACTTTGTGCTTGTTTCAACATGGCAGAAGTCTCAGCTGTACGTCAAAATTACCATGGAGAATGTGAAGCTGCCATCAATAAAACGATAAACCACCAACTCACTTCATCCTACAGCTATTTAGCAATGGTAATTACCCGTTGTTAATTGTCCTTTGCCTTTGTTGATGGACTGAGTTGTGGGCTCTAAGCGCATGGAGCGCCATAGCTCAGTCCCTGTTATTGCGGGCAGCGCAGGCAGGCAGGCGCAGGCTAGTCCGCTGCACTATGACTGTGGCTATCGCTGTGCCAGCGCGCCAGCTGGCGCTGGCTGTGTGTGTTTAATAGGAAATGCACACAATGAATTCAAAGCGGTAAGGTTGTAAAGGGGAAGTTCACCCTGACATTATGTTGGTTTTAATAGAAGCAGAAAAATAAGAGAAATAAGTCTTAGCAAGTACTATGAGCTAAAATGAGAAAGCTAAGCATGAAGAACTTTGCGCATTGTCATTGAATCATATTCATAGACCCCTAGCCTAGGTCTAGTTTGCAAGAATCTTCAGGAGGCAGACTTAATCAGAAGAGGAAGAAGAAGAGCGCGCGCTGTAATACATGCACAGTGAGTTTATGCGCTCCCATTGGCTGATCCGCTCGAGTGGCTTCAAATTTAAGTGAGAGAGGGCCTACTTAACTTAAGCGCAACTTAAGTTCAATGGCAAAGTCAATAGGCCTACGTAATATTGCGTCACACCACAGAGATTTTGACATGTCATGCTTTAAACAGGTGACGCACTTCAAACTTTTGCACACACATAAAATAGAAAAAATCGGCGCTAGTTCAGAAGTCCATCCAGACTTTGACCCGGAACTCCGGCGTGGAGATACCCTACTAGGTCTAGTACTAAAAAACATTATGATAATCGACTAAATCTTCATTAATTCATTCAAGTAATGCCTTGTTGGTCATGATTTAAAGTCGTTATTTTTCTTACCTGTTTCGTGTCAATTTTCTTATCTTTTTTGGAGTATTTTTCCTAAAAAACAAAGACTTATTACACGAGATTCATGGCAAAGTGCTGCACAATACAATTGCATACCGTACCGACGGTGGGGTGCGGGCGCGCGTGTGTTAAGTTGGCGACAGTATTGATGAATTGCTTAGATTACAGTCGCTAACAGTAACACATGTATGTTTTAGTAGGGTAACTGATTAGATCGAAAATGCAGACGATTCTTATTTTTAAGATGGAACTTGTCCTCGTTTATGCGGATGATCCTCTTTCTTGGACCAACCCCCCTACTGATTAGCGGGATAATTTCAGTATAACTAATAGAAACATGTGTATGGTTGTTTCCATTGCTCCCTGACAGGCATTCCACTTTGATCGTGCAGATGTTGCTCTGAAGGGTTTCCAGAATTATTTCGAAGCTATGTCAGATTCCAAGAGAAGCCACGCCATGATGCTCCTGAAATACCAGAATGAAAGAGGAGGTCGTATCAAGCTGTCAGATGTCTCTGTAAGTTACTACCCTAAAGAATAAGAACATGATGACAAGGTTTAAGAAATCCTTTTTAGGGAATTTTTCAATTTCAAAGTGTAGAGGTGTCATGGTCTCTTCTTTTTCTTCCGGTTAAGTACAGACTGCCGTTGGCGTATTATCGTACTTATGCTTGTTGAGTGCCCAGATGAATAGTGCAAGTAAAAATCTCATCACAAGTTGATACTACGTGCAGCTAAAAAAACAAAAGAGGCTTAACGAAGCCTCATTTGTTGCATCCCCTGCTTGAAGATCACTAAGGAGTGGATATAGTGGAAAAGTATTAACTGGACTGTGTATCACGGTCATGGTTCAATGCACCAATGCCCTTTGGCGAGGATTTAATCTACATTTCTCACTCTCCACAGTTGTTATAAGATGATGAAGCGGATCCTAATCAAATGATTGGTTGAGAGCGTACACATGACCAGGCATTTATTTTGCCTAACACGTTATTCAAAATACTTATGGCCGGTCATTAGTAAAATCATTTTATAAACAAACAAAAAACATCTTCTAAAACAAATTTTGTTCGGCATTAGTAAAATGACCCACACTTGGTACCCTCGAAACAGTCCAAACACTATCGGCTATCGCCTCGGGCGTGTTGGACTGTTCCAAAGGTAGGCCTACCTAGTGTGGGTAATTTTTACTAATGCCCTCACTGTTGTGTATTATTTGTATTCAATAATACAGTCACAAGAGAGATTTTGATGCTCAAATTTGACGAAGTAACAGATTTTTTTTTAGGAGTTTACCGAATATTGATTTGATTTGTTTGTTCCCAGCAACCGTGCAAGGATGACTGGGGTACTGGACAAGAAGCTATGACTCGGAGTTTAGAAGCAGAGAAGGCTAGCAACCAAGGGTATCTAGACTTATACAATCTAGCTGAGAAGTATGGTGATGAACAGGTAGGGTTTTAAAGATAAAGACCAGTTATGGTCATGCGATTGCATTGTGAAAGAAACGTTGTGAAATCGATCAGAAAAGGTTGATCATCTAGCATAGATTTACTGCAAGGTTCTGGAATCATCAAAATGATAAAAAAAATTGCCCAGTCTTCATAAAGTTACAAGCACTGTACACAGAAAGATGTATATGGGACTACGCACACGTGCGCAACACGTGCGTTTTTATCTCTCACACTGTGAGAGATAAACTAATTTACCAAATATATCAATTAGTAGGCGGTTTCCCGGCAAAATTTGTATCATAATGTACTAATAAGAGCTTCCATTTCATTTTTTTGAAATTGGGGCATTACCAATACTGGTCTTTACCTTTAAAGTGACTTCATAACATTGGTGAAGGTTGATGAAAACACTGTTTATTTTTTTGGATGGAATGTTACTTATTATATTACTTCTACTGTCCTAATTCTCTTACATGCAAAAAATCCTGAAAAAATTATTCAAACCAAGATATTTATACAATCTAGCAGAGAAATATGGTGATGAACAGGTATGGTTTTAAAGTGAACCACTAACATTGTTGAAGGTTGATGAAAAAAATGCATAATCTTTGTATAAAATGTTACTTATTAGGTATATATTCTTTTTACTGAAACTGAACTGAACTGAACTGTCTATCATGCAAAAGATCCTGAAAAAATATTAAAACCACAAAGAATTATCAGAGCCTTTAATGCGGGACTGCACTACTTGCTGCTCTTTACGCCCTCTATATAGCAAACAATGCCTAAGCAGTACCTGTGCGTCCCCCATGATCCCCTTTTTCTGATGTTAATTGAGAGCTGTTTTGATGAGATAACCACCTGTCAGTCACCATGCAGGGAGGTCTAATCCCTCCTGTCCAAATTAGTGCAGATAGGCTTTAAGCAAGCCCTGGAGCCTGTTCACAGGGGACTTTGTGCTTCATACTCTTTCCACATTCCAATTTTGTTTGTCTGATTTTGTTTGTGGACAACTCTGATTCTAGCAACAAAATGAAACGTTGTGATCTTTTGATTACTTGTTGACCATACATTGCGAGACAATCGAATATCACTAGCGATATTATATTTCGATACTTTATCCGCAATGAGTAATATATTTAGCATTAAAGATGATTTGTTTTCTTTCTCTCCTTGCTGCAGCTTGGAGACTTTGTAGAGGATAACTTCTTGGCATCCCAGACAGAATTGATCAAGACAATCGGAGACCACATTTCAAACCTCTCGAAGGTTGGAGCAGGACTAGGAGAGTACCAGTTTGATCATCATCTGGGCAAGAAATAATGCTAGCTAGACCAGGACTAGGTCTACATCCAATCCAGGACCAGTAGACTCTGCATGAAATCATGTGGACCTAGATCTAGATAGATAAGTACAGTAGAGTTTGCACATCACATGCATCCAATCACACAAAAGGCCTTTTGTCTTAAACCTGTGGGCCAACATTTCACAAACGGGATATCAATCGACACTGGGACTAAAATCCTTTTAGAGTAAAATCAAATAACTAATAAGGAAGTTATGATTTTTATGCCTCCGTTACGAAGTAGCCGGAGGCATTATGTTTTCGGGTTGTCCGTCCGTCCGTACGTCCGTACGTACGTACGTACGTACGTCTGTACGTACGTACGTCCCGTTCTCGTGATCGCGTTATCTGAAGAACTGGTTGATGGATTCCTGCCAAACTTTGGTCATGTATGTATCTTGTAGAGCCGATGAACTGATTAGATTTTGGGGTTACGAGGTCAAAGGTCAAAGGTCACAGGGCTCATTATGTATGCAAAACGAGCTCGTGATCGCGTTATCTGAAGAACTGGTTGATGGATTCCTGCCAAACTTTGGTCATGTATGTATCTTGTAGAGCCGATGAACTGATTAGATTTCGGGGTCACGAGGTCAAAGGTCAAAGGTCACAGGGCTCATTATGTATGCAAAACGAGCTCGTGATCGCATTATCTGAAGAACCGATTGATGGATTGCTGCCAAACTTAGGTCATGTATGTTACTTGCAAAGCCAAAAAACTGATTAGATTTTGAGGTCACGAGGTCAAAGGTCAAAGGCCACAGGGCTCATTATGTATGCAAAACGAGCTTGTGATCGCGTTATCTGAAGAACCGATTGATGGATTGCTGCCAAACTTAGGTCATGTATGTTACTTGCAGAGCCGATGAACTGATTAGATGTAGGGGTCACAAGGTCAAAGTTCAAAGATCACAGGGCACATTATGTATGCAAAAACAGCTCGTGATCGCGTTATCTCAAGAACCGATTGATGGATTCCTGCCAACTTAGGTCATGTATGTTTCTTGCAGAGCCAATGAACTGAGTAGATTCTTGGTTCATAAGGTCAAAGGTCATGGGCTCATTATGTATGCAAAAATAGCTTGTAATCACAATATTCTGAAAACCTGTTAATGGATTACAATTGAACTTGAATTTGAAAAATTTCTTCTGTTTTGGTTTGTAAAATTGCTCTATGACGGAGGCATCATTTTCGACTGCGCGCAGTCGAAGTTCCATCTAGTTTTGGTTGAAGTATGAACAACTATTAAACTTGGAAATTCACTACACCAAATGCCAATTTAGTTATCAGTTGGGTACATGTAAAAGTACTAAATGACTCCATCCAAAATAGAAGGTATATAACTATGAATTACTTAGGCTTCCCCCACTCCCCCCCCCCCCCCCCAAAAAAAAAAAAAAAAAATTCTAATAAGGATTACAATAAAAAACTATCAAATTTCAAATCACTGTCTCAGGGTAACTACAGTAGGACAGGCCTTCATGTGCTATGTTTTTCCACTGACTGTATCATGTAAACTGTAAACGACTTCCAAAGCATTCATGAATAGCTACCAACTGTTCCTATTTTTGAGAATGATTCATATTTGTTGGCCTTCTGAAAAGTATCATGAACCTTAATTTCTTTCTTTTTTATGAAAACTTCTGACAGAAAAGCATACGAAATAGACAGTAATTCTAATTTTACCTCAAGAGATTCCTTATTTTTGCTGCGAAGGGTTGTCAGGTATGATATAGTTTGTCCTTATCATATAGGTATATGACTAGTCCTTAAGTTCACTTCAATGAATGTGGACCATTTAGGAAGTTAAGTCGGGATTATCAGAGATATTTTTGCATCATACTGTCTGTGCTGCATATATTTACATCCCATTTGTGCCTTGTCAGATTTATGTATATTCCATTTGATATAAATTCCTCAAAAAAAAAATTCTGCAATTCAAAGCATTGATATCTTTCTAGCTAGTATATTTTCATACTTGATGTTGGTATCATTGAAAAACTTGTTTATTTCCCTTAATGGGATCGTTTAACAATGTTAAATCTGAGATGCACGGCCCTACGTGTTATCAGTGTCTGTGATTTGGTGTTTTATTGAAGCCCTAAAAAAATTACGCTTCAAAATGATCAAGAAGTGCCTCAAAAACGTAAAAATCTTTGAGTGAACGGTTTTACCATAGTCGTTTTCCCTAACAGACTGTAGTGTTATGAAAACCGTTTGGCAAATGGTTTTCAAAATGTGTAATTCCAATCATAAATATCTTGATAATCAAATAGGCGATCGGCTTGTAAAAGTCATGGGGTTCCTGACTGACCTTAAGGTTTATAATTATGATTGCAGCGTGAGCTAAATCCAGGATTTTTTTTCAGAATCTGAGACAAAGTTACCGGATCCCTTTAACAATGATGCCCCATGTGTAATGATAATATATTCATGGAATGTGCAGCACACCTGAATATGGAGCCAATTTGAAGTGAAATGTGGCGAAATGCTCCATACAAATGAAGAATTCACTGTTAAAAAAATTCATCCAACGTGCGATAGCATAACAGGTATACATTCAATCAAAGGTTTGAATAATAAAATATTGATGCCCGAGGACATATCAGCTCGGAACTGTAGTGACACAATATAGTTCCGCGATTATTTGAAGGTTTAAATTGACCTAATGTCAATTATTAGTATTCATATCCTTATTCAGAGTTGCAGTGAGGGAGATGGTTTCTTCACAATTTTCATATCAAATGCAACAGTGACTTCTTTAAAAACCGAATCGTGTAAGGATCGTGGTATAGTTTGTGATGGGCTTTATAAATGATCATGTTAATCTCTTTTTCCATTTACATGTATGTACCTGTATGAAATTACACATGTAAGTGTCACCAATTCAGAATCGCATTGAGGAAGATGGCTTTCATTGATATGTCTATTTAAAATGCAATGTCATCAATTGGAATTAACAGTATTCATGCATGCACCAACTTGATCATTACATCGTAAAATTGCACCAATTCTGACAGTATTTGATATAAAGTGTAAGTAAGTAAGTTCTGTTTTGTAGTTGTTCAATTTGTTTTGATATCTGTAAAGAAATGTCAATTGTACTTGAAATATCTCCACTCTGAAAGTCGAAGATTTTCTTTTCTTTTTAGCGCATTGTTTTCAACCTGTGAACCTATAAATCTGAAAAATGCTGAATTCAATTGTTTGTGTTGATATCTATAACGAAACATAGATTGTACATGTACTTAAAATATCCTCACTCTAAATGACAAATATTTTCTTATCTTTTTTAGCGCATTGTTTTCAAGGGCTGTGAACCTGAAATATGCTGAAGATAATTATTAAACTCGGCTTTACGAGTATTATTCCTGACCTTTACACCTTGAACTGAGTGTGTTATCTTACAACCATTGTCATTTGATCGATTATTTAGCCTTTATTTATAATACATGCTGTACTAGTTAATATAAAAGCTTACAAAGCTACTCAGTGCACTGGAATACGGATGATAGATTGACAATTCCAAATTGTAATTGTCTTGACCTATTTATTTTAGTGTTCATGTAGCCTGTATGAATTTGTTATTTTTTATTTATTTTTGTTAACAAGTCGTTTAAAATGTGTGCATCATTGATAACCTGAAATAATGGTATTCTTTATAGTGTGTTATGGAAACCAATTCCACTTTCCTCCATTAGACATTTTTTTTCATTTATACAACATTATGTTTACAAATGTCCTGGTATTCTTTTCAGGGTGCTTTTTGAAAGTATTCCCATGATATTCATTGGACAAACAAGATTTCATTTATTCGACATATGTTTAGAAATGTCTTGGTATTCGGTATGACATTTGGTGTGCTTTAAGAAAAAGAAAACCAGTAAAATCATTGAACAAACTAGTTTTCATTTGCAATTACTATTGAATTACTAAAATGACTATCATTATGGATATTATCATGTAATGTTTACAAATGTCCTGGACTGGTATTATTTGCAGTGTGCTTTTTGAAAAGTATTCCCATGCTATTAATTGGACTGACATGATTTCAGAAACGCCTTGGTATTCAGTATGACATTTGGTGTGCTTTAAGAAAGAAAAAAAACCATCATTAAAACTCATTGAACAAACTAGTTTTCATTTGCAATTACCACTCACTTACTGTATCATTGTGGATATTATCATCATTACAGCAAATGTTTCTCTCACTTATTAATTTCAGAAGCCTTTCATGCACTTGTTTTCCATTTGCTATTCTTATTTTTGTCATTACTACAAAACATTCCACGGATCAGAATGCATTGGACTGTATTCTAAAATTAAATGTGACGTTAGATTCAAGCTTTGTCTGATCAGATAGAGAAAGCATTGGACTGTATTCTAAAATTAAACGTGACGTTAGATTCAAGCTTTGTCCGATCAGATAGAGAAAGCATTGTGTTCAGTGTTGAAGAACCTGGTGGTCAATCTAGACAGGTTCTTGAACTTGATTGTCAAGCAAGTGTCGTAGATCTACCACATGTACCGCCACCTGAAAGAGGCAATAATGAGTGAATATAGTTTTGTATGAGGAGATATGAAACCAAATGTCTCACAAAAAATATTCTACCCCAGAAATTTGTAAAATAAATGTTGCTTATTTGTGTATAAACAAATTGTGTATCTTTTGCTTTTGTGGATTAATAACAAAGATGTTGACATTTGTATTGATGTTTCTTGGTTTTTATCTATAATCTTCAAAGGACTTTGCAGCCTATCACAATTAGCCAATCAATTAGTACGACTCAAGTTTCTTGTTATAAACTATATCCCCCCCCCCCCCCCATCTCTGAGTGTTCTGTGTGTACTCTCTCCCTCACTACCCTTTTCTCTCTTTCTCCGGCTCTCACTCCGACTGTCGCGTACATGCATTCTCTCAACCTCTCTATCGTTTGCGTGCCATCTCTCTCGTATGCATGCACTCTGTGTCTCTTGTATTTGTTCACTTTCTCTGTCTCTTGTATGCGGCACTCTCTCTGTCTCTTGTATGCGGCACTCTCTCTGTCTCTTGTATGCGGCACTCTCTATGTCT